AATGGAAAGGGATGGCCAAGGATGGCTGACAATCGCTGAGGATAGCCAAGGATGGCCAAGGATGGCAAAGGATGGGTGACAATGGTTAAGAATGGCAAACAATGGCAAAGATAGTAATTTAATGCGAATAGCGAACTTGAAAACTTTTAATTTTCAAATGACTGTCGAAAGAAACTGGGATTAAATTGGTTTTTCTTTATTTCCCTAAGTGGTTGTTCAGGAAATTTATTCTAATCTATCGGAAATTAAGATGCAACCGAAACGAAAACACAATCGCTAATGGTTCTGTCGCAATTACTTGCGCTTCAGACATTTGAAATTTGTTAGTTTTTACTGCAAGTAAATCTGATTTTCTTCTTTTTTTATGGCGGGAAAATTCCAGACGATCAGTAGTTTCACCGTTTTCCCACTGCCCCGGTTTTTTCCGATATGTCTGACATGTCTGAAGATCGTCGGAAGTTACCAGTGACTCGAAGGTACCAGAGCCAAGCAACATTAAAAGATGGTACTGTAACGTGCTAACACTATCGCCGATGTACCCGACAGTAAAATAGGTAATTTAGTGTTAACAACTGGGTTGAAAACGTAAATTAGCCACCGTAAAGGGTAAAAAAGCTGACGTTTCGAGCGTTAGCCCTTCGTCAGAGCGATTAGAGGAATTGTGGGTTGTGTGTGGATTTATATGCAGAAAGTGGGGCTACGCCATAGGTGGGAATATGGTGACGAGAAAACAGGAATAAATTAGTTGAATGAAAAGCGCTCGTTGATTCCGTGGGGATTAAAGGTGCCGATTTGGAATATAAATTTTTGTTCTAGTGTTTTACGGCTTTCCGAACTGCCTAGATGTAAGGAAAGGCCGCAAACTGCCATATGCTGTTTAGAATGATTAGGAAGATTAAAGTGTCTAGCGACTGGTTTGGATGCGTCCTTGTCATTTCTTTCCACATCGCGAGGGTGTTCTCGGAATCGGTCACCCAGTCGTCTTCCTGTTTCGCCGATGTATAACTTATTGCAATAAGTGCAAGTTATGCAGTAAATAACATTAGCGGAGGTACATGTAAAGTGATCAAGTAAAATAGGAGTTTCCACATGTCTTCAATGATTGACGATCACCGCAATTCTAAATCTGGGACGCTTAGGAAAAATAGTAACTCTCCCGGTTTTCCCGAATTGTCGCCGACCATCCCAGACAACCGGGGAAGTCTTCCTGCGATCGGAAATCAGTAACATCACTGACCATCTCAGATATATATCGATTTTCCCGACATATGAAAAACCAGCCCTAATTTATCACTGGCGCCCTATAACATTTTCCTTTGTTCTACCTAGCCATTTTTATTTCGTTGGATTTGATCTGTTTCACGATATTCGGTTTAAAAGCGTTCTTTTTTATTTTGGTTTCTTGAAACTTTGCTGCAGTTCATGAATTTGCCATTTGTTTGTCAAAAACTATTCGAACTCTGTCTGCGCAACGGAAAAACGTTCCGTATGCAACGTTTAATGAACAGAGTAGATTCGGTTACAAATACTGTATCCGAAGCGAGTAAATATTTTTGGTAACTTAATGGGCCACAATAAACGCCAAAGCGCAAGTTGATGAAATATCCCATTGGATTTAACAGAAAACAGGCTTAAATAAGAAGCGATTAAGAGAAAGTCCAATTGACTCTCAACAAGGAACTTCTCGTTGTGATTCCAATATGTTATCTTGCAAAAAGGCTATGAGAACAGACGAGATTATCGGTCAGTGGGTGTTATCTTGACTTAACACCAAACTCTCTTATCTAATTTGCAAGAAAATGGGTTGTAGTCAGTGGGGAGAATAACTGATTAGATCTTGTAATTAGGAGTGAAAGGGTTAACATTCACCGAGGCTTTAGTTTTTTCAAAGTAGCACTACCTTCATCTAATAACAACATATTCGCTAACAAATGATATAGAAAAGTAGTCGATTTTCTGCTCGGCAGTGTAATAAAATGAAATGTTGTTCGCATTGTCACGAGCGTGAGACAAAGAAAAAATTTTGAGTCTCTATGAAGAATCGAAACTCAGACCGTCGGATTTTGAGCCCCAATGCTCTGCCAAAGGCCTTCTGAGGTTCAAATCCTTATGAGTGCATTCAGTTTTTCCTTCGTCTTGTGCTCTTGATCAGACGAATCATGTCCTTTTTTATTTCTTAATATTCTCTACCGCGATGTGATGCTGTTTTGGAGTTTCTTTGATCAAGTTCGTTGTGGCCTACACATCTGTTTTGTATTTTTTTTTTTTTTATCGCAGAGGTTATTAAATTGTCCGCGACACGGTGAGTTTTCTCCAAACGGCATTGATTTGAGTAAAGAATGACACTTTTTGTTCTATTTTGTACAGATTTTTTACGCATTGCTGGCTCATAAATCTCGTATTTACATCACTTAGTCAAGAGTTTCGATAAAAGCTAGCTACCGGCGGTTTACCGCCGCCTTTAAGACCTCTTACCGCAGGCTCTTGTTGGGTTTCCCCTTGCGCCCTTTTTCCGGGCACAGTCGCCGATTACACCCTCGGCAGCCGCTTATGGAAAAAATTACTGAAACCCCCTGCTTAAGTATTGCTCGACCCCCAGGCAGTCAGTCACGAGTAGATAGTTCAACGATAACTTACTTTGATCAGTTTAAAAGGACTTTATACAGAATAAACGGAAAAAGGAAGGAAATGATACAATTATTCCAATGCACGAATACATATCCTTTTCCATTCGTTTTACCCGTTACAGCACAGCAGTGGAGAGCATTGTCAATCATGTAAAAATAACAAAAACAAAGATGGATAAGGGGGCTGTAAATGGCGCACCAGTTCACGAAATGAAACTGGAAAAATATGAAGTTGTCGTAGTTATATAAGAAAAAAAATTAAGGAACCACAAAAGAGAATAATTGAAACACAACCCATTGCTTGTCTCGTCTGTGTATTTAGCTGTTCAAAATTTTAAACCATTGAGACTGAATTTAAAAGGTATTTACTGAGAAAACAAATATGCACAATGATAGAGAGAACCTAAGAGGGGAATTTCCGTAGATAATGCATTTACCAACGGATCTAAGCTCTCATAGGAATACTTTAAAACAATTTAAAATACCCGTCAATCAGCAAGAGTTTGATTGTTTCCTGCTAGGAGATCCGCGGAGGTTGAATCAAAGACGATCATCACGTGTAATGCAAATGTCTATCGACAGAAATTGAACTTTCTGCCGTCTGTTCTCAGGGAATGGACGTTGTTTACCGCCTGAGGGGGATTTTAGAATTTACTTGATCCCCCCTCACTGACAGTCAATCTTTCACAGTTCCTTCTCTATACTCAGGTAGCGACGGTTTCCTTCCCCCCATTCCGTTTGAAAACCATGTGATCACTTCAAAAATCTGCCGACCCTTCCCACCCCCCGGGTGATAAATATTGACTGCTCCTTAAGTTGAAGAAATTCCATTAGCTTCATTAGCTTTTAACAAAATATTCCTCGTTATTTTTCTTTATACAGGGTTGATTCTAGAATGTTAAGCAAGTTGAGTAAAAACATAGTTAACTATTGCCGTTTTCCCGATCGCAACTGAACAAACAGCTTAACACGACTTTTTATTCGTATTATCATTATTGAGTGTCTGCCATCATAACGAAAGTTCTGAGGATTTGCAAGGGATGTCAATCGAACAAAATCCTTTTGGTGATATCTTTAATCTTTATTTCTCCTGCTGGTGACTGACAATTTTCTTGGTACCGTAGGGAGACTCACTGACCGGAAAACTCTTGGAGGTTAAGGGATTTATTGGCCAGGACTCAAGAGGAATTAATTATAAAAGAAAAATGCTTAAACCAAAACATTTCTTAGCAAGAAGGAGGAAGGTGAAGCTAGCAAAGTGTACGATGGGAAAAATGGCCCATAATTCCCATGGATCCTGGTCTCTGACGTGATAGAATTATATTTGACGAGTTTATTGTCATAGTTCATTCTATAGAATGAGACGTCAGCCTTTTAACTCTTTACGGTGGCGAATTTACGTTTTCAACTCAGTTGTTAACACTAAATTACCTGCTAAACTTTCCCACCGACGCAGCACCACAGTTTACCACAATTATTCTATAGAAACTCCGTTCTGACCTTAAAATGTCAGAACGATCTTGCGCCTCGAGCAAGTTTACCAAACGCTCAAATACACATACTCGTAACACTCGTACGCGGAACTCTTTGCAGATTCCGCTATACAGAACGGCTATAGGCCAGCGCACATTTTCCTACAGAGGGGCCAACATATGGAATAACTTGCATAATGAACTTAGGCAAAGTGCCTCATTAGCATCTTTCAAGCGCGCCCTGAAAGGCACACTATTGAGGCAGACATTTCCTTCATAAGCTCTAGAATTTAATTTATTAGAATACCATCATAAATTGTGATTTCGAGTTTTATTGTCATTTTTGCTTTTATAAATTATAAAGAGTTTGTAAATGGTTCCTGAAAAACCTCACGAGGATGTTACTATTAAAGTTATTATCAAAGTTTCTTTAGAAACTTACCCCCTTTATTCATTTATCATGAAGCAAGTTTGCGTATTGGAAGTGAGAAGCCTGGGTTCCAGGCTGAATGGTGGTCCTTCGCTAATTTTTTTTTTCCGTGAGACTTCTCATATTTCCAAAATGTGAGAGCAGGAGTGGCCCGTGAATGAACGAAAAGTTTCGGCTTCCATTCCTGGACAAGTCACTGTTTCGTGTTCTGGGACAAAGACACCTTACTCTTACAGTGCCAGTCTCCGTGACAAAATTACCACCCGGTACAACCGAGGCAAGTAGGCATATCAGTCGCTTGATGATGTAAACACTGGAATAAGCTCCACATAAGTTGAGAGCCACAAGGTTTGAGATCGGACTTTGCAGCAGTCATTCATTGATAATAAAGATTGTAATAGAGATGAGATACGAACGAGACACCGGCAAACGAGTCACTAATGACTCCAACGTACCTTCGTTGACTGAACTGGAATTCCTTGTGGAAGAAGTTACCTAATTAGTTCCTTCTTGTCTAGCAACAATCTAAAATAGCTGAGTCTTTTATGAGAATCCAAACCATATTCTCCTCTATTTTGCGGCAAAGGTTGGTTAAAGCTCCATTCCATCCTGAATATTTCCATAGATCCAGTCTGTATCATATTCACCAGCCGGTGGCAAACGAAAAACGAGAACGATTTTGTACAGTGCGTTAAAGAAAAACATTAATCACATACAACATAGCTGGAAGGAAGTGGATTTAATGCAGAATATTACAATTATGGCAAGAAACAACACAACTAAATATAAAAATTGTATACATTCTACACCTGAAGTTTACGTGAAATGTTCAAACTTTGCAATCCATTCTCGCTCTTAACCAACCAAATCCACTTCATTTTTAAGTGCGTCTTTTACGAGGGTAACTAAGTCTGTACAATTAATTATTTCAGATTTTCACACACAAAGCACTCTGTTTACCACCATTACTTAATCTTGTCCAGGAATTTGGTATATCTGATTTTGTCGCCACGGTTTTCGTCGAACTCGGTTAAAATGTAATAAATATCTTCCTCGTCCAAAACTACGTTGCAAAGCTCCAAAACATGTCGGAATTCTTGAAGAGAGAGGAAATCCTTGTTGTCTTTGTCTAGTTTCTTGAAAGCTCGCATGAGGTTTATCCATTTTCCTGACAACTGAAAGATTAAGAGAAATACGGATGTGAGTATAATATATTTTAAATATTTTCGATTTTACATCAGAGAAACAATATTTTATCGAGTGTTGCCTGGATACGAAAAAAAAAACACGCAACTGTGTGTGGAGCATGAATGCTCTGAATAAGACCCTTTCTGAATTTTTTCTATATATGTTACATTTTTGACGTTTATCTTGTAAGAAGTTGCTCTTTTAAAATGTACACAGGGAGTTCTTTTAGTTTGCTTAGGAGGACCAGCTTTTTGTATATATACAAAATAATCCCTTAAAAATTCACTAAAATTTGCCTTATGAATAATTTCTAAATTCACTTCATATTCTTCTCTGATCTATAATACTATTTCTAGTAATTTTAAAGAACGCATATCATCTCTCTTCTTCAAAGAAGTTAGAAACAATACTAGTTGATGATAAGATCTCTATTTACCTACCTGGTGAGCCTCTCCAGTAGAGGAAAAGCCGCAATTTTTAATTTCCGCCAGTTCTTAAAGTGCGAATTTGTGCACAGTGGGGATTGGAAATCTAATACTATGGAACGCCTTTTAAGAAAGTTAAAACCGTTGAAGAAGATCTGACGGGAGGCCATAAACACGTTAATGTCAATAATAGATATAGTTATTACCATATCATACCTTATCTCTGAGCTTTGCTGTCACTGTCGACAGACCTTTACTTGGCTTTTGAACGATCTCATCCATTGGCTGGTTAAGGAAGAAAAACGAAGAAAGGATGTTTGTTGTCATAGCAAAGGTAGTTGAATGACCGTTGCCAAGAGATGATATGATATCTTGCCCTTGGTACTTCACTTAAAATTTCTAAGTCGTTTATTCGATGCAAGAAGAAAATCTTTGTTGCCATTCCGTTGTATTTTCGGGCAAGAAAAGTACATCGAAAATATTTCTTGCCAAGCAGATGTGCAAATATAAGCGAATTATCTGGAAAAATCAACTTCTGAAGAGGACATTTTGATTTTAATCCATTTTTAGAGCAGTTTTTCCACGTTGATAAACGCTGACAAGGAAGTAGTTTTAAATGCCAATAATATGTACAAATTGTGATAAGACACGAACTTCATCGGAAGAAGCTTTAAATTTGAAGCAGAGGTGAGAAACCCGACGCAATTTGGGGGCGTCACTTAGAGCCATTCGCTGTCAAACTCAAAATTGAGAAAAATGCTAAGGGGAATAATGACGCTTCAGGTTAATTTTTTGCCATATTTTTCAGTTTTACATTTTTGTTACACCCTTTCGCTAGCCAGGAAAGCGCGGGCCAAAAATGGACGTACATTCAGCATTAATGCTGATGTTCAGATGCAATATTCTCGTAACACGAGAGGAAGATAGAAGTCAATCATTTATTACCAGCTCAGCCTGTGGATGCTTCATGACCGCTTGCATATTGTGTCCATGGCGATGGGCCCTTCGATGTTTGGAATATGGTTCTAAAAACTTGATGTAATTTATTCTGTTGAAAAAAAGAGGTCAATGTAGGTTTAGAACCATGTTGTTTTGATACCACAAAATGTTACAGAGCTGGGCGAGGATACGAGGTATTGGTGTTTATATAATAAATTGAAATTAGTAATGAATGGAGGAATCTGGAAACGTCCTATCTTTCTTTCTGTAGTCAGCATATAATGATTGGTTCTTCTGGGCCACCTAAACTTGTTTGGCTGAGTTACTCTGTAAAACTTCACCCATGTGAAAAATCTAGAAGATATTTAGTGACATTAAGGTCAATACCTTCCTTCTTTCTTAGGATCAAATTTGTCACACAGGACTTGACACTCGTAGTCTGTCAGTTCAACACACATATCTTGCAAAATAGTCTGCAATAAAGGAAATTAAAGTCTTCAACAAAAGTGCATTTCACGAAGTGTATAAATGAAGTAGGAATGGTACTAGAAACCCTTTACTCCTGCAGGCATTCCAAGATATCACGCGTGCAAATGAACCGTGCGTGACGTTCGCGACCCCACGAAAGACGGACTGCGAAGGGGACTGCGTAAAATAATGAATAATGCACTACAAAAATCATAACTACATGCAGATATGAAAATTGAGCTTCAAACTTTTATATCGGATTACTCTTTTTTATTAATAACTGAGAACGTCTAATTTTGGTACTGAGGCTGAGTGTTGTTCTTTTTTTTTGTGATTTGAGCCTGAAAAAGTTGTTAACATGTTCTTAAAAATATGTGGTTTAGTATTTCAATACATCAATTCAGACGTGACCAGACCAAGTTCGACAACAAACGAAGTGGTTCCTCAGTGTATCGTGCGACAAGAAAACCTGTTAGACCACAGTTTAACATTTCTTTAACCTTCATTTATTCTTGTCACAAAAAAGTGCCAAAAAAAGACGTTATTAACTGAATCTCAGCAGGGGCATGTTCTTAGCATGTATTAAAATTTTAGTTAATCTCAGCCTAGACGTTCTTATAAAAAAGGTTCTTATAGCTAAAAAAAGAGTGTATATAGCCAGTGTCAAGCAACATGGCACATTCTAATCCTTGACTGAAATAAGAATCGCTTCAGATTGTAGCAAAAGCACTTGACCATGACAACTTCAATCTGACTATGTAAAATAACAAGGCACACTTTATGAGCCATAAAGGAGGGACTGGAAACCAGCATGGTTCAGCTTACCGTGAAATCTTTTCTCGAAACGTTTCCAGTCCCTTGTCGGTCAATAGAGGTGAACTCTCTCCAGAGCGTCTCCCAGTGGAAGTCGATGTTTGATTTGAGCAAATGATGCAAAAGATGTTTGTCACTGTTCAGTTTGTTGGAGCGCATCATGAAGTCATTGTCACCTCTCTTGGGCGGAGAAACCTTAGCATTTGGGAACGCTGAAAAAAGGATGAAAGTAGACTGTCTAATGACAATAAACTTGGCGAGGCTTCCTAAGACGGCGTCTAAAAGTCGCGAAATAAAGTCTAAGAGGTAAAACACGCGTTGTGTAGCAAGAAAAGTAACAGCCACTAGGAATTCGAAAGGCCTTGTGCAGAATGGTCAGCCGTCGTCCATCAATAATTTGCACAAAAATAAATAACTTCAGTACTTCGCAAAAACATAAGCAAACATTTTCTTATTACATAGCACTGCTTTGAAGGACTAGCATAAACGGACGGATTCTTCCGCCAAAGAAGTCGGAAACTGGAACAAAAAGCCCTTGGTAACAAGCCACTAAAATTGCTTTGAAAACTTCACCAAAATACCTGCTGAATCCAGGGAATAACCAAAAGTGCGCACGAACTGCCAGTATTCCAAAGAGCCTCTTTGGTCTGTGATAAGAGTATCCCACAGTCGTTTTACTTCATTGCGACTTAGAGGAAGACCAAACCTTACAGAGAAAGTAAACAGTAACATTACCTTACATATTTGTATTGCTAACAACTAATGTACTGTATATCTTGAGATTCTAACTTTTTTTTTTTCTTTGAACAAAGTCTAAGATGGCGAGAAATGAATCCGTACGTTTGCGGTTCGACTTCTCGTGGAAAACTCAAACTGTTCTTCTTCTTCTTTTGTCTCTTTGCCTCACGCTAGTGACAAGAAGCTCAAGGTACTCAACTATTAACCTATTTTCTGGCTCTTCCAGCTTCGACAAAAAAATACTTAGTCGCTCCTTAACCCTTAACAGTGTGTGTGACGTTTAACTGCTCACTTTTTTAGAAGCTTAATCATCATGTTTGGTGACATTTTCTTGCTGTTTAATTCATCAAGTTCATAGAAGGCCTGAAAAGAAAGAACAAATACGTTCATGTTGGGGAGCTACTTTTTATAAATTACGTGTGCATTCATCTTAAGATTTGATTGTGTTTTTCCATAATGAATTCTTAGAAGTTTTAATGATTCCTTGGGTATCTTTTAGATTGTAAAAGCTGTCGATGTAATCATCGACCTGAAATCCTTACTCTTTTTAATTCAAATCTTTTACCCCACCGCGAAATTTTCTGGTATCTCGGGCTACATCAAGATAGTTTCTTCGTGAATTCCCGATTTTGCGTTGGTGTTGTGTGTTGTACTTTATAAGCTTTGACATTGGCTGCAATTGGAATAATCAATAGAAAGATCTGCTGGCTATTCCTCTTTAGTTTGTTTTGATTGGTCCATTCACTTATCTATGCCCTTCGATTGGCCAAATGTGAGAGGACAGTAGAACGTGAGGGCAGCAAAACATGTTTGGCTGCATATTCGCGTCACCTGCCATCAGCATGTCTCTAGTTTTGTGCGGCAACTTACAGCGCATTTTGATTTGAGGATCATAAAACCAACAGTAAATCACAAAAAAGGTCGACACCAAAAGGAACCAAAAGGAACTCTACCTACACCCGTATACTTACCTTTTATAATGGAGGGAATAACAATTATAGCGGAAACCATTAGTTAGGCAACTGAAGCAAAACAAATCGAAACCAACGCAATCCAAGATCACTCTCGAAATTTTCTTGCTCCAACAATACAAAACCTGCAGATCTACATAACAAGAGTACTGAAGAAGTCTGCGTTCTATTGTTCTATTTTTCTTCAATCTTACCTCTTCAAAGGCCTGGTAATTATGTTGAAGCACACTCTTGATTAGAGCCTTCAATTCCTCGACGCTGCGCCCTTCCTGGCTATTGTACGAATCCATGGTTTTCATCGGTCGAAACTGTTTCTTAGGTGACATAGGAGGGCTGTCTATTTCTGGTAGAGTAGGGAGAGCTTCTTTCCGGTCCATGATGCTGGAGCGATCAAACAGGCTCTTGCTTTCACTGATAGAACAATTAGAGAATAGAATTAAAAATTTCTTTGATGCAATGTAGCAGTTAGTTGGCGAGATAAAGACAAATGTAAACACAAGAGATAAGAAAGTTTAAAAAGGGAGAAAAAGAAAAGAAAACTCTATTTGGAATGCGAAAATGCCTCTCAAGCCAAAGAAATTGCCTTTCAATTTGGTAAGCCTTTTCGCAAATCTCCTTTCAGTTGAGTAGTCGCTACCTGTACATACACACGTAATTACGAAAAGAAAGAAGAATTTCAAGTTGCCGCTTTCTTAGCCGATGTGCAGAGTTCAGCGAGAGCCTGTTACAACATGACTTGGTCCAATTCACCCAACTGTACAGTAAAATGTTCGTCATAAGTGCAAAATATTAAAGTAAGCCGATCATCATTTAGCAGACATATTAGTATAATTACAAAACCCTTAGGAGCATGGCGAAGCTTACATCAATATCATATCTGGAAGTAAACAAGTCAAAGGGAGCTTGAAAGTGAGAGGTCGCAAAGGGCTCACGAAGACTGAGTGCTTCATTGCGCTGGATTTGACGATGTGCAGCCCCCAAGCAAAGAAGCATGTTACCATGGACTGCGATGGAGAGAGGAGAGGGAGGTGGAGAGAGAAAGGGAGGAGTGACAGGGGGCTATCTATAATTGGCAACCAAGCTCGTTACCATCTTGATCGTGGTGAGGTTTTAATTGTTTTATTGATAAACAAACAAACAAAGAAAACTCGCGAAAGATAAAATGTCTAGTGAACACTGGCGAAATGAAAAATGCTTCACATTTACACTCGAACAACACTGATTTGTAAACGTTCACTGCATGGATAGTGTTGGCAGAGCTCATGGGAAAAAAAAGACAATTTTGTTAGAGTAACAAGAGATTACAAATACTTACAAAGTATCAAATTTCGACATGAATTCCACGTATTTGACCATGCCGTCGCTGTCGATGGGAACTTTCTTCAGAAATGACTCAAACTCCTGCTCTGACATGTTCAACTCGAATCTTCCTTCGATAGCTGCACGGAACTGTTGCTGAGTCAGCAGACCAGAATCCTTACGATCAATATTGCTGTAAAACAACAAGAAAAAGATTGAGTAAATTTAAAAAAATGATGACATTCAATGAGCATAAACACGACTGGACAGTGGCTTTTAAAATTTGTGTACATTTTGTTTGATATTGCATCGATTCCGTTTTCTTAGAGAGGAAACCTCAAAAAGAAGATTTTGCATAATTCAATTTGGTTCTCAAAACTGCCCTCTCAAGTTCAGTTGACGACTGCTCTGGAGCCGACAGTGAACAACGATTCATCTAAGTAGGAGTGGCTATTGGTGGATATTTACCAAACCGCGAAGCGGGGAGGTAAATTTCCACTGCTAGCAACCGGCACTGAGGTGAATAACACTGAGATAATAGAGCTCAAAAAGATGATTTTAACTCATTTACTCCTGCAACGACTACAATATTTTCGAGCGCAACTGCTTTACATTTCAACTCAAAACCCTCCCCGCTAGATCATATATATTCCCTTACAACTTGAATGTGAGAGTTTGGTTTCCTATTGAAGTAACAAAATATAATCGCCCAGCTAGCAAGTTTGTTTACTCTTGACACCTATGTGCTGATTATTGTAACTATAATCTGAAAAAAGTGCAATTTAATCTCTTGCACGAGAAAAAAAAGACTCTAAGTTCCCTGTTATTATTCGCCCGTTAAGTCACTTCATGCTAAGGGAATTAAAATAAGCCCTTGCTTTGCTTTTAGCACTGGACTTGCAGGAAAAAATCAAACCTCTTCAACCTCAACCATGTCGCGGCTAACGAGTCTCTCCGGGGCAAGACGAAAGTTGTCAACAAACGCGTCTAGTAATACTTACTGGAATGTACCCAGCAGGGCTAAGAACTCCTTCTGAAACATGTCCATCATTCTGGCCTCTATGGCTGAAGTTGTTGAATAGTTACTTCCACCTTCACTGTGGTGGTACCTAAAGACGAACGTTACTAATCAGTCCTCTAAGATAATTTTTCAATGGAGTATCGAAAGTAATCCTGGGTGATTGCTTTGGTTTTGCTTTACCTCGCTCTGTGATTGGTCCCGAAAACTCGCGCCGAAAACTATTAGAACTTGGTCACTCCTATACAAACACACTTCAAGCAGGTTGTTCTAATTGGTAGTTGTGATAACAGCGCGCGTCTCCCGTTAATGTTTTAAAGTAGAGGGACGACTGGGGACAAGTTAGACGTTCTCACTAGCGCACATGAACACACGCTCGTCAATCCGCACCAGAAGCAAAATCTATGTACGTTAAACCTATAAAGGCAGTTTTACCTGTGAAGTGGATTGGCCAAAATCTTGTGGGGCATTCCCTGCTCGCTGCGATCTTGGAAACGGCGCAGAAATTCTTTGTACGAAATCTTGCCGTTGGAAGCTTCGATGCCGCACCTGTTCAGAAAAATATCGTGTCTGTAAGACATTATCCGTCATTCATCAGTATAAATTCATCAGCTTTCTATCATAAATGCAAAATTCTGATTGGTTACACTACTCGCTGTCTATTCTGTGACAGATAGTGATGATAATTAGCCAAAGAGTGCGCAGTTGTAAACAAAATAAAACAAATTAAACCTGAGCCTGTTTTGTTGTAAAATTCAGTTGAACGACTTTCAAATTTATACTAAACTGCTAAAACAATTGGATTACTCGATCCCTATTTCATCGCAAGGTGGTTAATTCGGCTTCACAATTAATTGGCTCTTACGCAACAGAAAGCTCAAAAGGTTTTACAAAAGTACCAGCTAAGATGGAATATTCAACATGGACAGACTTTAAAATAAAAAAAGCAAACCTTGCAATGAAATCATCCAGTTGTTTATCGGTGTCGAGGCGCAAGCCAAAATCTTTCATGACCATTCTGAAATCATCGAAGCTAACTTTTCCTATCCTGTCCAGATCTAACTCCATAAAAGCATGCTTCATATCCGAGAAACCCTCGCGAAACTTCCTCTTCAACCATCTCTCTACATCCAAAGAGTGTTTCCTTTCCGCTTCGAGCTTCCTCGGCGAGCTCGATACTTCTCTTGATCCTGTGTCCTTCATGGCAATACCAAGCCTACTCATCAATCGCTCTGCACGAATCGTTCCGTAGTTTTCCGTGTCGTATTTTTGCCAGAGTTTTTCAAACTCGTCGTCCTCCATGTAAAAGCCCATCTTGTTGAGGACGTTTCGCAGTTCAGGCCTGAGAATTCGTCCAGAACCTCCAGGGTTCATTTGCGGAATAAGTTCTGCTACATCCAAAAACCTGAGCGAAAGAAAAGGCCAATATATGGTTAAAAGAGTCCACTAGAAAGCAAATTTGATTTATCTGCAAACTTCGGACGCGAACGATCCAACAGTGGTGACCAAAGGAGAGTTTCAAGTTTTTTTTTCTAAAATATTTTATCAACGCTCGAAAAACGCGTGGGACTTGAAAATCCACAGTTCAGGTTACAATACGAATCTTGCGATGCACCGGTATGAATCAGCATATTAATCAGATATTTTATCCGCAGTTTTATTTCCCAGACAAACTTAACTTTTTTATTTATTACATGTACTATTTTATAGCGACAATTACACCGAATGAAAATTTGTGAGGAGTAGGGTGGGGGTCGACGGATTTGGCACGGAGGGGGGGTGGTGGTGCAAAATAAAGTGTCTCCAAATCTGTCTGACCGGAAGCAGGCACAAAGAGTTCATATAAAAGGCCATAAAAGAGACAGGGGAGAAAAGAAGGTAAATTAGAGTAATGACTAACCTTTGTTTTGCCTTCTCTTTAAGATGTGCATGTACTTGAGCGGCAGACATGTATTTTAAGTCAGGCTTCTCCAGCTGCAGCCAAGCAGGGCCCTCATCAGCTTTCTGAAGACAAAAAAATTGAAAAGGAGCAATGAAATTGAGTTAATTTCATCTGAAGATGACAGAAGAATCAAAAGTGACCAAATTTCTCAAGTATGGACTCTTGGAAGACTGAAAATAAAAGCAAGTCCATAGCTGCCATTCTCACCTTTGGTGGCCTAAACGCAGCGTAAAACTCGTCATAAGAAATCATCTTTTTGTGGTCCAGTCGTAACCTGTGAGAATTAAGGATTAAGATTAAAGTTAACATTATGTCTTTTTAGTCTTGCAACTAACACAAAATTACAGTAAACTAAGGAAAGGAAAATTTTGTCTAAATATTATCCAAAAGCTGGATATAGAGTAATGGAAGATACACAGCACTGAACTAAAAAGTATTAACCCTCTAATTCCCAGAAGTGATCAACATGAAACTTCTCCCCATAACATCCTTACCTTATTCAGCAAACAGGTTATGAGAATATTCAAACTTATCAAGTATAAAATGCTATCTTGACCTAGCACCAAGTTCTCATGACTAATTTACAGGGAAATGTGCAGCAGCTAGAGGGGAGAATTAACAATCAGATCTTAGGAGTTAAAGGGTTAAAGGTTAAATTTGATATCTCTTGTTGCAGCAAATATTGCCTTAAAAAAGGAAATACCACATTTCCTTGAATAAGCATCTGGGCACTCATTTGAAATTTCAGCTTAAAGGAGGGGGGCACTTATAAGAAGGAGGGTGCTTAATCAGGGGGGAGCTTATTAAGTTTGCTCAGCAGTAGGACAAAAATCAAAAGAAGAGACAACACACTTAAAGGAACTCTAAAAGTACATGGAGATATAAGTAACTGGAACAGAAAAGAAACTATTGTCATGTACTGATTAAATATTAAGCAGTGCGTTTCTCAAGTAAATTTATTTCTTTCCTCCACTCTCCCCTCCCCTCCTCAACAGCTCATCCAGGGTCTGCTATCCTTGCTCACTTAGCAGTAACACAGATAAAACATCAGCATGTACATTTTTTGAAATAGAATGTTACTTACCGCACCATTAACTTGTTAAAGTGGCTCAAAGTTATTGATCTTGATAAGAAATTGATGAAAATTTCTCTCAATTTTTCCCTGTAAATGGTAGAAAGGAAATGCAGTTGAACCTACACATATGATTGATACAATTTTGAGATTACCCCCTGGTAGCTGCTAAACCCCAAAGGTAAAAATGTATTCAATAATCAAAGCTTCTTAGGTTGGTGATCATTTCCATTATTCTCATGATCGCAATGAATGATTCAGCAGTATGAAAGTCAGGAGAAATTAGACACTGGTCACCCTCAGGGTTTAAAGCATTAAACAGTGGTCAAGAAATGAAACCATTGCAAATTTTTACCCTTTGAAATGGTGATCCTTGTTGGGAAAGACTATGTTTTAAGCAAAAAAATTGTTAAGAACCCTTTGGCCCTCTGTTTAGAAATCCTTATTTCAAACTCAGTATAAAACAGGCTGTAGTTGATTTCACTATATTGCAATCCATAACTGCATTGTTTGCTCATTTCTTAATTAACGCTTTTACTTTCAGAAGTGATTAAATTGTAACTTCTCACTATAATATCCATACAACATCCTGCAAACAGATGATGAGAAACCTACAACTTATCAGGTAAAAGTTATCTTGATCTAACACTAAATTCTCATAACTGATTTATCTAATTTCTCAGCTTTACTATCAAATACACTACTAATGAAAATATTAAGCCTAGACTATGGTTATCCAAGAAAAATTACTTACCTGTTTACGATTCCTTTGCCCTCTGGATCACAGTTTTTGAAGGCCCCCCTTATGTCATAATATCCAGTTTTCATCTTTTCTCGTAGTAAAGCTTCAATCTTAAGAAATCATTCAAAAAAATAGGATAAGCTACAAACTGTGTTGAAAAGAATATGAAATATTGTCAGTGTTAAGCTCATTTGTTGGTTAACTTTCTGTTGCTTGAATTATTGAAATAACATTGTGATATTTTAAATTACATTGCTTTTACAACAAACATTGTTAAAAGTATCATCATTCTCTGATGCTTTAGTGGGAGAAGTGGTGGCCTAAAGATTAGTGCACTGGACTTCTGGTTAAGAGATGCTGATTTGACACCTGGCTGGGTCAATGTGTTGTGTTCTTGGGTAAAACACTTTACCCCCACACTGCTTCTCTCCCCTGGCAGTATAAATGGAAACCACTGAAGAATCAGGGAAGCCCAATAAAAGGATGAAGGCAACCTTGCCATGGGCTGGGGGAATAGAAATACTTTTGATCACTTAAAGCTAAGGAATCTGGGATCAGCTCTGGCTGGATGGGCCACTTTGCTCAGGTACAAACAAATGCTTTGTGGAGTATGTACCTGCCTATCCTCTGAAAACTACAAATCAAAGAGTTCTGCCCCAAATAATAATTAACATAGAAAATACAACCCCTCCTGATCCAACAAGGTTTGTTGTTGATATCTATACTATATACAAACCTCGTCAACTGAAGCTCTGTCAGGACCCTGTAAAGAGGATGCTGCACTGTTTAGTCGAGACAGGCGGCTTTCAGCCCGACTTGCCATGTCTGCACGGCTCCCTAAAATGACAGAGTATTGGTTAACCTAACAACATTTTACGTAGTCAAAGACTTTGAAAAAAAGTAGCTTTGGATCTTTATCATATTGCGCAGCATTTCCACCATTATGTAGCATTTAAATAATGGTGATTATGTAAATAGGTCATAAAATTCCATATGACCTAATAATATTGCGTGAAAAACGCCTTTTGTTGACACTACGTGAAGATTTCTATTACTACAAAAACACAAAAAAAGGTTTCATTGAGACAATAAACAGTATCTTGAGTAACTAGCTTTAGGAAATAAGCCAGAGGAAAGCATTAGCGGAGGGATCTGTTAATTCTATTTGCGGTTTTATGTTGGCAGGTGTTCTTAGTAGCTTTTTAATTTTTTGTGGTTGACAGATGTTCTCGAAGACAAAAGACTATCGGTTGAATTTGAAGCAGTCTAGTGTTACTAGCGCTCGTTAGCTCTGGAAGATACCAAAAATTAAACTATAGGTGTTAAAAAAAATCATGAAACGCTTTTATCATTCCACTGATTTCCTTATAAATGAAAATGGCTATATGAAATCGCTTTTGACTGATTAGCACACTTAGGCATAATTTTAGCGTGATAAAATTTTACAGGGAGAGTGTTTATTATATGAGTTGCAGAGTCATAATTGGTCTTCATTCACCGGTTCTCATCATGATACGGTTTTCGAAATTTACCTTCTCTTGAAAAAAGCGACAACACAGCCACGAAGCTATACGACAGTAAGGATGTGTCAGCTACTACCTCACTATAAGTAAAAAGAAATTGTGCTTACCGAAAATTGGAATTGTTGGCTTGTTAGGATCTTCAGCGAATTTCACTTCGACGCCTTCTGGAATGCCAGCAAATCCATCGTATCTTGGGCTTCGTTGCCCACCAAAGCCATTCGAAGACCTAGTTAGCCTGTAAGGCACTTGATCCGCCGTTATAGGTCGTAATACATTAAGCTTTTGGCGGTCGAGGTCTTGTCCGAAAGTCAAACTTTGCCGCGAAGCTACACGCGAACCTTCGCGAGACAATCCTCTCACGTTTAGATTCGTAGGGTCTTCCATCCTCGATAACGGGTGCGGAATTGCTGGGAGGTTAGTCGTAGCCATTTTGACGCAGTTTTTTCTCCGTTAGAGCTAGTTCCCTTGTCGAATTTACACCATCCGTATCAAAAAGGCCAACAGAGCAACTTGATATCAGTTGTTTTAGTGTGCTTGCGGTGCGCATAAACTGTATGGTTGCCACGCAACTGACCATCACGGTCGAATGATTTCTGTTACTAAAATTACTCCAAATATTTATATTACTTTATTATGTTGTCTCTCGCCATGCGACATATCCATTCTTTACCGTCAAACTTAAGGAATCTAAGAGATAAATCGCCAATAGATAAGTCTTAATTTCCGTAACAGATTTCGTTTCAAAAATTTTTATTCAGATTTTAAATGAAACATGTCAAGTGTAGCATTACCTTCCAGACATTTTTTCTCCACGAGGCCATCGCAGATGTTTCATCATGTGCGGTCTTTAAAAGAAGTAAACACGGAGCACATAAAACCTAGCCTGCAGAGACGTAATTTTGGCGAGCGAGTGCTCTGTATTTTCTTAGTGAAAATTATGACAGCCATCTTTGATTTTTACAGCAGCGTAAGGCTGGGGAGAGAAAGAAATTCGTGAATAAAATCCAACATGGCTGTTTGAGTAAACGTTCATGAGTTCGTAGAACTTGTGACGATAACTCGCCCTGATAAGACGCCTGCATCGCAAGCTCAGTTGCGCCAGACAATAACATTAAAAATAGCTTGCGTCGTTAACATTTTTTTTCGAAAGAATCCCATTTGTCATATGACCAACAGTACAAATGATTTATTCTTTAGATCTTAAATTGTCTTTGAAAAAAAAAAAAAAAAAAAAAAAAAAAGACTTAAAAGATTATTAAATGAGTGGTACTTGTCGTAGTACTGGTAAAGCTGTTTATAGACTGCTTAGAAACGTAAAAGAACGGCGATTATAATAATTATATTTAAAAATTTGCAAATATCATCGATGTCAAGAACTGACAGTTCTTAACAAGAGGTTTTGAGTACCTTTTTGGAAACATTCCATTCTCATATGGTTTAAATCAAAACTCGATTCTTACGAAATTTGGGGAAAATCTTTGTCACTAGAAACATGATTAACTCAAAACTCACTGACTGCGAATCATTTCAAGAATGTCTCTGCCCTCGTTAGACACACAGGTATGGCCCATCGTTGTCTGAGTTATTGTAAACAATTATAAAAGATTTGCTAGAACCTTTTTACACGTTCAAACGAACCTTTCTTAATTGTGCAACTGTGTTTATAAGAGGAAAGGAAACGATAAATGAAATTACGCCATGGTTTTACTGGATATCGTTTCAAAAGAAAAAGTCTTTGGCCTAGATACTGAGATTTATGGCAAATCACCGACAACTTGTTTTGAAACAACTCCACAGTACAAATGAAATTGCGTCTCCAGTTAACATTTTGTATCTAGTTAGTTAGTGCTGCGATCCCTAGCATGGCTAAGTGACTGAAATTTCCCTCGAGCTCTCCAGCCCGAGTTATCTTCTGAAACCCAATGACTTTAGATACGATATCACATTTCTTCGTTCAAAGCCCCTCTCCCTACAGTTTCAAACTTTCCGTCTCAAATCAATCGTCCTCCGTTTGAATGACTCCAACACTTATCTATTCCCAGCCTTCCTTCACCTCCCTCGTTGTTTTTCACTTTCTCGTTATAGGTAACTGGTAGAAAAAAATAAATAAAAATTAACTCGATGACATTTAACATTTTGAGAACATTAAGTAAAAACTACAGCAACAAACAAACAAAATGATCAAGAACTAAAAACTAGAGTGCAGAGTGCTATTCGATTGAGTATCGTAGGACCGAAACCAAATTTACCAAAACGGCCGATCGGAGTTAAATGAAATATCGCAAGCGCAGAAAAGCACAAGCGACCAAGTTGTGATCGGGTTAACGTTTGAATCTGATTGGTTGAGAGAGTGGCTCGAGTCTTCTAGACCAGTCACAGAGCGAAGCAGAGCAAAACCAATGCAGTCTTGGGTTACTTTCGACGATGAAATGGAAATTGCAAACGCCCCTAGTTCAGGGATACCATCAACCATATCAAAGTACTGGGCGCCGCATTAGGGGCGGACCATCCTGCTGTGCGGTAAAATTTTCGGCGTACCTAGCCACACCCTTAATGTGGCAAAGTTGACGCTAGATGTTAGCACCTGTTGTCTTTGGTGCGATCATCTCGCAGGGATAACACCACATACTTTTTTCTTTTCTTGCCTTTGGATGTCTGGATAATGAAATAAGAAAAAGCCAAATTAAAGAATGTTTCACACAAATGAAGCCCCGCTTTCGAGAAGTAATAAACAGTCTAATATTCATAACGCTTAGAAATTGCAAGCTTCTTGGAAATTCCGAGCATGGACTATATGGTATTGACACGTGAATGAAGTTTCTGTTGATCCATAAAAGTTCACCCACCTAATAAGGATACTAACCTCTTTTCTTCTGAAGACTCATGTAAAGCGACGATTATTGCGGTTAAAAGCGCATCCAATTTTCAAGTGTAAGAATTCACAAAGAAATAACAAATACAACAGATGCAACTCAAATGAACCGTTGCAATCAAAATACCTGTTGGCTTTCCTTTGCAATCGTACGACTCCTTTATGACGTAACAATGCGCGCGCGTGTCAGTGACTTCAAGAGAATACTGATTGGCTGAAACTTTGTAATGTTTGACGTAGTAAAACAGCTGCGTATCGAGTGCACCAGTAACGATTTGTTTTGATTTTGCCTCTTACCATATAGGAGGGGCGCAAAACTTTTGGAGCCTAAATACCAAAGAGATGACAATGTTATAAGAGAATCCAATATTTTAGGTAGTTCTCAACAGTTAAATCACGTTTCTCCTCAGGAGAGGCTTTGTGATAAAACCTAATCGCTCGGCGAAATGGAAACGGAAAGCAAAAGAATTGAAAACGCAAAGAACGTTAGGTAGGGTACTTCCATAACAATTTTTATTGGGTTTTAGCCACTTCAACTTTCCTATAAGTGAATACAATAAACGAGATTTTGGACTGATCAGTCGCAACCAAGCAATCTGCTCAAACGGATCAGAGTCACTTTAATTACAACGAAAGATAAAATCTTGATTTGCTGATATCATTTCCAGCGAATAGGTCGAAAATGTGTGGAATCAACCATTCTTTATCAGGATATTGAAGCTATTTGAAATTTTCATCTCCTTCCATTCTTTCGGAGAAAAAAAAGATGAGCGAGAACCACAGTAAGACATACGAGAAGTTATCTTCATGGACATTGCTTCCATGGTAAAGTAATTCTGGCTTGGTCGTGAAAGCGAGCCAAACCTTCTTTACTTGGGATTGTCCGCTACCGCCACAAGAACTTTCGAAACAAAATGAGCAGCGATTTCGATTTTAGCTATCGCTTCTAGCGCAAAGTTGCAAGAAGCGAGTACATTTTAAAAGGTAAACAGAGAAACAATTCTGAAATTGCACAAACTTTCTTTTCCTTCCTTTTTTTTTTCTTTTTTCTTGGCTTTACTTCGTTTTTCAATGAACTCGACAAACATAGCATAGGCCTGATTATTCCTAATGTTTCGATTCTGGAAAGCTGATATTTCGATAGCATACATGATAAACATTATGATAAAAGGCACGGTAGTTTTTCGTAAACGTCCTTCAATAGCTTTACATTTCGACCGAGTGTCGTCAAAGTAAATACAGCCAATCCTTGATGGTTTAACAAGATAACTCGGCTTTATCAATTGAGTTGATAATGTCAAGAATTTTCAAAGCTGACTATTCGGGCGTTTGCCCTACGTTAAAATAAACGAATCTTTTGCTTCAAGTTAAGCATAAGGAGTGATCTAGTTCAATCAACAGGCAAAGATAAAACCGAATAGTCAGATTTCTTTCGAAATTCAGTTGAAATTTACAGACCACAAATACCAATTTAATCCCTGAGAAGGCAATTCGATTAAGTTTCGTAAATCCAAAACCGAAATCAGTCACAACAGCCAATCAGAACAAAGGAAATGTCACAGAGAACCAATAAGAAGTCAAGGTAAAAACAAGCTTACCGCCATGGGCGCGGGAAAACGCGGGTGAACAAGTCGCGATTGACTTTTGAATCTAATTGGCTTAAAGGGTGGCACGAATTTTCTGGGCAATCACTAAGCGAAGCAGTTTACATTTGAGTTTTGAACAACCTTAACCAGAGTAATCGCCAGAGCCAGTCGGAGCGAGGGCTGACATTATTATTAGCCTATAACTGCAAGTAAAAACAGGTACATTGCTTGAAAACAAAGTGACTAAATCATGATTGGTTGAGAGGGTAGCAGGTGTTTCCTAGACCAATCACAAAACAACACTCAATTGAAAATTGCTCAACACCGAAGTGATCGGCTTCTAACTTCTCCTTGCAAATTAAAAAGACTTTTCAACAAAACGAGATTTGAATACACATATTTAACAGTGAGTGTTTCCTTGATAGAACATCTTCTTCTCTAGACTTATTAATACAGCGTTCGACATCTCCGCTAGCCCGGTAGCCCGAGCCTTGTAAAAACTTGGTCGAGCTAGTAAAAAACCACGTTTAATAGCCCGCTGGCTAGTAAAAAAAATGGAAAGAAATTATATATAATTAGTTTACTTGAGTTCACAGTTGATTAAAAAACAAGAAAGTTAAATCGTAATGATAATACCAATAAAGAAAGCATAAACCTATCATCTTCTAGCGTCTTTTTTTGTCTTGCGTGTCGATCGTAAACATCGTTAGATCCCAGACTCTGCGCTTAATGGTCAATATCTTCCCCAGTCTTCTCCCTACCAATGTTGCGTGCCTTGCACATCGCCTCGCACAATCGCCTCATACTTGGCTTAGCTTTTTCCTTAAATAACATATGTTATCACAATGAAAGAAAAAACGCCATTCTTTATCATTTTAAAAGAATCCTGCCAATAAGTTAAGAGGAAGGTTTGCGTGTTTGGGGTTGAAGTAGACCTCGAGGAAAATTTATCCGGGCTACCAAGTTGTGTTTCGGGCTAGTAAATGTTAGAAATCACTAGTACGGCGGCTAGTAACGCAGGTAGCCGGTTGTCGAACCCTGTTAACCCTTTCACTCCCACAAGTGACCAAGACAGAATTTCTCCTTACAATATTAATACAGTATAAAGCAAGTAGGTGATGAGAACAGAGAAGAATATCAATTATAGGATTATGAGTTGATCCAATACCAAATGCTCTGAACTAACATCATAAGAATTGTATGGAAGATACTAAGGAGAATTACTAATTAGATATTGGGAGTGAAAGGGTTAACAAGGACATGAATATAAACTACAAGGGAGAATTACCGACCACATCTTGACATAAAAAGATGGAATTGTGATTACGCCCAGGACGCCTAGTGTTTTCAATTTCAACTTCATACTGACCGTCTCTTATCTCTAGAAAGAGAATTTCTCTAAGAAATGTAGAGAACAGTATGGAGAATATGCATATTGATGTTAGAGTCTATGGGTTAAATGGCAGAACTGGAGCGTATCTTTTATTCTAGTGGAAAGAACAAGCTAATTAGGTCTAGTTGCCAGAAATTTCCAGTGTTCCTTTTTCAACTTTCCTGAACTCATGTTTCAAATGAAGCACACCAAAGAGCCATCCACTCAAACGCAACCTTTTATGGTTGTGAAATTCATAATACATCCGATATTGTCCGACCACACAAGAGTTCCTTACCTTCTTAAAACTTGTGCATTCAAAAACATTCAGTTCCTGAAAATCGTATAAATAGAGTGCCCTGTGGTCTGAAACTTGCACATTTAAATCAAATTCCGCAAGCATTTTATGAAATGGGAATTTGTTATATACATATCAATAAATCAACGGAGTTGGTAGAAATTTTTTTTTTAATTAGAATAAATTTTCAAAGAAAGCTGTCTCTGATTTCGCCGTTTCAATCTTAAAAAGTGTGGGGAAAAGGCTGCAAATAAACACCAAAAAGGTATTTGGAGGCCAACTTTGAACGTGAACAATATACGACTTCATAACTGATTTACGACTCCCTATTCGGCTTCACATCGGTTGTGTTGTGTAAATAATTATACAAACTGAATCTCAACTTCTAAAATAAGTCACGCCTATTACTCACAGGCACGTGATTATTACAAAGGGATTCTTCGTTCAATTAATTCTTTGTATTACAAAACTAAAAAACTTACGTCTCGAGATACGACTCTCAAAATGTTTTCGGTTATCAACATATTTTTTCAGGGTAATATTTACATATATAGTCCAATAATCGCAACAAACCAACAACATTGTACATTTAACAGATCATAACTGGTCCAGAAGACTGGATTTTGCCATTCAACGAATAGAGACTCGTTGATGTAATTTTTTGTGTGTCCGTATTCTGTGGATAGACAGCGTAAAGCTTCTATCGTCACCGAACTGGTTTACAAGAAGAACAGACGATCAGATAGATCATGTGACGGTTCATTGTGGATGTTCTGACCAACAAGGTAAGCTAGCTTGTGGGCGTACTGAAAACAAGAACAAGAGACAAAAGTCAAATTATCGAACCCCTTCTCCGAGTTTCGTTTTTCTCTCTAAACGTAAGCAAAAACTGAAAAACCTTTAGATCCTAAACTTGCAACAAGAAATGGTTATAACAAAACAGTGAAGAAATGACAAGGGTGCGGCAACTTAGACATCTTCAAACCATCATTATTAAATAATTGACACTCATTCCTAACAACTGCCACCTAAGACATACCTGACATGGAGCAGGCACCCTGACTGTACCAGGCCAGTTGTAATAGAGATGGGTAAGCTTGTACGATAACCTGTAAAGTAACAACAACGCTATAGAGAACTTCGGACACGTTACTCATATAGTACACAGAAATGTTCAAAATTATGTCATTAACGTGTTACAAGTATGAATTACATAACCAATGCATGACAAAAAAGGGATTTTTTCAAAATAATGAAACAAAACTGAGAACTACGCGATTTTATACGCCGGATTCGGAGAAAACTACGAGCAGAATTCATACGGACATACTGGCCGATCTTTTTTGGCCGGAGGCAGCCTTTTCCTACCCACTCCCATAACTTAAGCTAGTTTCACTCCTTCCCAGTAAACCATATTTCCCAAACAAATCACAAGCACCAACTTTGTAATACACTATGCTAAGCATGGTGTATGCGTTAAGATACTGTTGTTGAAAATGACCTCACCCTCCCCAACCCATCTGGAGAAATGAACGAAGGGGGTGCTGGCTGCGTCGGCGGGAGAGTATAGCAGGGTAATTTAGTATTATCAACTGAGCTGACAACGTAAATGAGTCACCGTAGAGAGTTTCAAAGCTGATATTTCGAGCGTTAGCCCTTTGTCATAGTGAGAGAGCCATCTGGAGAAACCCTGATATTCCAACAAAGCAATCGTAAACAGAACCAATACTTGCACCATGACTTCTCTCGCTATATATTTTCAGAAGACATTAAATGAATGCTCGAGTTGCGTAATGCCAAATACGACCTTGCTCTATTGGTCGCAAGCGAAGAACAAACACAGAGGAGGAACTTGGTCCCATTTACCTTTGCATGTAATCTGGTTTCAACTCTGACTTGTCGTGTACAATAATGTAACGGGTTGGGGTAACTGTTCCCTGCCGTACATGCTGACTGACGAGGTAAAAGTCGTACCTGCAAAAGGAAAACATCAAAACTTATATTAACCAACTGTTCCACTTTGAAATTCAACTGAGAGCATCAAAAAATCAGAAAAACCACACGATTTGATAGCAGAGCAAAAGACAATTATCTTTTGCAATCATAATCCAGATAGGTGGTTATCATGTGCACGTTTGTCTCTAAGAATGAGGAAAACTATTTTCTTGACATTAGATCTGGGTAGAAGTTTATTTCAGAGGGTTTACAGCAAGTTTAAATAATTTTTGTTAAGATTGGCAAGTCCAGTGATACGCATAGAGTATGCCGCTCAATAATTTTAGGATAACAAGGTTACCCCTTCCACATACCAGTCTCTCCTTGTGATTGTGTGGTCCAGTATGGTGCCGGGACCGGGGTTATCAAGTTTGGGCCTGGGCCCACCTCCCTGCAGAGACAAAATTGAAATTACTGAACTAAACTCACTTCTGCGCACCTATAACTTTGCCTAGACAGTAAATAAAATCGACTTATTGAGACAAATAGTAGGCTTTCAATAGAACTACATTCCTTTACCACAGCACCAACTTATGACGCGACATTTATTGTGAACTGCAGGATAAAACATTTCATATCTGGTGTCACTAACCTGAGCTGCAAAGATTCGTGCGTTGATTCTCTTTGACACGATCACCACTGCCATCTTGGGGTGATAGTTACCACCAAAGTGGACAAAACACTCGGAGAGCTGTTGCACTTCATACCCAGCCACAGTCTTCAATTGTCCATCACCGACACCATCACGGTAAACAACTATACGATCGGGCAGCGCGTGATTGATCTACACGAAGATACAGGGAATAACCAGTGAATGATAAACAAAGTACCATTTAGACTACTCATTTAGGACTTGAAATTATTCTTAAGAATTCATCAATCTCTACAAAAAAAATGATCTGAAATAAGACCAAATAACCCACCTCGTGATACTTTTTCAGAGAAGAAACAAAGCACATCTTAAGCCCATCAATGAGTTCCTGACCAGGTGACTGGAAACACACTCTTGAATTCCACCGAGTTAGACTCTTATTCATGCTTGCTACAAATCCACAGACTGATCGGCCGCCGCGGGAGGCATCATGATAAACATCAATACCAATCACCATAAGGCTTTTCTGTTAACAAGATGAGCATGACAGTTGCATCATTATTAGAAAAATGTGAGAAAAAATGTTTCATGGGGAAGTATTCAGAGAACTTTAACGGAAGAATGATGCTGCATGTGGTCATTGGACAACATGTATCACTGTTCAGGACCAAGTAGCCTAGCAACAAGCTCTCCGATAATTGGCGCTTTGGCACGAGTGTTAATTCACCAACAAAAAATTACAACCGCTCAAGCTACGCGAACCGGCACGAGGTCTTAAAGGGTTACTGAAAATGATGACTTTAAGACCCCACAAATCTCTACCCACTCGTCTCCAATCTTCCTATGGGCGCAAAAACGCGCGTCCTGTAGCGCTAATAATTAGGACCTGCTCGCCGCCTAAGGACTAAGTTCCAAACAGTCTTCAAGTTAACCCTTTACACCCTTGGATCAGTATGCATATTCTCCATACTGTTCTCTATACATTTCCTGAAACGCTGACAAGGAGAATTTATTTAAAAATCAAGAGCATTATAAGTTGGTGATCATTTCCGGCCTCGATTTTCGTGACCTTAGTGTTTGATTCAGGGGTGACATAACCCTTATGTCATACTGGGACAAAAGACATTTTTACTATCTGTAACAAACAACCAATTGCAAATGCATGGATCCAGTCAAAGAAACAGTTTCACTGACATTTTTAAAAGGTTTTCAAATTTCCCTAGCAAGTTTCAAAACGACTGAGACAAAATATGCATAAAATGGAATGCCAATATCCTGACAGCCCTTCTGATTTGTGATACTTGTTACAATAATTTTACTGACCAGTGGAATGTCTAGTGCCCATAGTTCTCCACCCAGTTTGCAGTTTATCTGCAGGGCGATCTTTTGCGTGACGCTCCGTAGTTTGTTCTGCTGTGAAATTGTCTTGGCATTGATAACCTAGAGGATAGGAAGGGCAAAGAAAGCACTTTTTGAAGCTGACAGATGACAAAAAATTATAATTTTAAGCAGTTCAAAGGAAGCAAATTGAAAAAAAAAAATAGACTAGGCAACACAAAGACCCTGGAGAATTCTCTCCTATTAATAAATCAGAATACAAACGGATGGTCAACTCTTTCAAGATAAAAAATTCCCAAGGATATCCACTTGAATAGATTAACTTGTGCCTTGACTATACCCAGAACCTTGATACAATAAGCAATAGTGAAACATGATTAAAAAATTACATGACCCTGGAAGATGCCATACAATGTTACCTGAGAAGGAACAGGACTTTCTACACAGCACAACTTTTTCACTGCAGAGTAACGGTCATCTCTTGAGGTGGGAAAGATGATTACAACCACCTGAGTTTGTGGGTTGAGATATTCTCGGATCATACGTAGGTAAGTCTCAGTCCTATCATCTCTCAGCTCAAGCATATTAGGTTGATGCACCTGTTTAAAATTTAACCAAAATATCACTAGGAAGTTAACATAACTTTTTGAACTTTAACCCATTTTCCTTTTGCTCATCTTATCATTAACAAAAATATTATACATGTATGAGGCTACAATGGAAAAACCAGGGTAATCATAAAAATATTGGGGCAGACTGAATAGTTAAGAGGATGAGCAGCGAATAAACCAGTAGCCAAACATGACTAAAAGAAACTTCTTTGTGTACAAAATAATTTGAAAACAGTTGAGTGGCTAAGAAATAAATCATAGTACAAGTTTTGGGGAGAAAACCCACACTTGTACCCAAGAAAACCACACACAGAAAAACTGACTGATATAGTTTAAGAATATATTTTTCTCCAACCTTTTGCCATAGCTCATTTTTATTTGGGCTCTGAGTATTAAATTTATACTATTTTGTCCTCTTTTGACTTCCATAAATCACAACTATTGTTAAGATGACATCAGACCTCTTACCTCAATACCCATTGGTGGAGTCACCCTGTTCATCATGCCAACAAACTCCACAGCTTTACTCTTGTCTCTGTTGACATACAACACCAACCAGTTATGCAGAGGAACAGGAGTAATAACTTGTTCCTTGACAGCTTGCTGGCCCCAGTCAGCCTGAGGGCTGGAAATAAATGATGTGCTTCCAAGGACTATCTTCTCCAATGGAAGCAGACGACCTTCAGTCTAAGAGGGAAAAATAAAATGTTGACTTCTCATCAGTTTTGTATAACTAAACTACTTACTTTATTACTTCTTGATAAAATTGAGGTTGATATAGAATGCTACCAGAAGTTTTCAAAAGCCCTCTTTTCAAGCAGTTTGTCAGATATGGGTGTATCAATTTTTAACTTGCTTTCAAAAAAAGTAAAGGTCATAGATATTACCTTTTCAACATTGCCACAAAAGCTTATCTGCTTTTATCAACTTTAAGCTGATGATTAACTAACTCATGCTTTGCCTTTATCATTAGGTGCACATTTGTGATTGGCCTACTGCTTTAGGGGTTATTGCAAAAAGAGGGTTGGTCATCTGTGGGTCACAGGTTTTGGTTGCCATATTCCACAAACCAACTTACTTGAAGCATGGTATGATCAAGCTGCACTCCCCAAGATGTAAGTTCTTGAAGGGCCTGGGAGAAGAAAGAAATTTACAGAGCACATCAGTTAATAAGACCAATTTCATTGTTTGTGAGAAAGGATTTGAAAATTTAAGGCTACATCTGTTTTTCTATCCCAATAATTTACAACTGCAATGAAACCTTTGGGGGTGTAAATGGGCAGGCTTAAAGATTAAAACAAATTCTCACTCAGGATTCAATAATCCCTGATTAGTTCCCTTGGGTTTCTCAAACATACAAAATAAAAGATTTAGTAGCAAACAAAGATTTAATAGCAAACAATTTCAAATATTACACATGCAGAACTTTACCTCAGGACAAGAGTTGATATTCTCAATGAACTTCATCATTGCTTGTTGCCTCTGCATAGGACCAACTCTAGTGTGTGCTGCAATGTCCTGCAAAGAATAACAAGAGCTGCATAATCACTTTTCCCTGAATTACATAGTACCATTGCACCTTGATTATTCCCACTTGTGTGGACTGGGCCAAATAGTCCAGATAATCAAGAGTTTACATAGTCAAAAATATGAAAAATAAAATTGAATACCCAACATTGAATCAATATTACACAAGAATTAAACAACAATCTCAGACCATTGTGCAGTAAAGGAAAAATTTGCCAAAGTATGTACAAAAATGTTTTATGAGCCAAACGACTGGACATAAATTTTTTTCAAGCTGCTACTGTGTATGTCACTAATTTGATTATTCTTTAAAGCTGCACTAACAGAATAGTGTCAACACTGTTTCAGTACATCTGCTTTGTTTAACGGGAAAAAGTTGTTACAGATCTTTGATGTGATAAATTAAAATTGGTGAAAAAAAATGCCACCAGAAAAGTGAGTCCAGATCATCAAAAAATCTGGATAATCTAAGTTCAACCATATGTGACCGTATACTCCTTCTGCCTTTAAAGATTGAAAATAGTTTGCCATTAAGTGATGCAAGTCAAATTCAATATTCCTTTCTTCAAATCAGGCGAGACATACATTGTAATCATACCCAACAACAAATAAAAAATCATTTAATCCACACATTCATCCAATCACCACCTATGGTTCTACTGTGTTTCACTTTTTCCAATTGTACTGACCTTCATTACTCTGAAGTCCTGTCTCACAGCATCTGTAAGCCCAGTGATATTACACAGTTCTGGTATCAGACAAACCAATCCAAGTTTCCTACCCTAAAATAACATTAACCTCAGTCTTGTACAAGTCTCCTTTGTGGACTTATTTCTAACCCATAATTCTAATTACAGTGATCAATGGTTTGTAAAAAGTGACTTGAGCATTTCTTTTGAAAGTCTACCCCCCCTCCAAAAAAAAAAAAAAAAAAATATAATCAAGTGCTACTAAACTTCACAGCACACGGTTACATTTTGCTCTGCAGTTTTTTTTAATTCACTGTGTTTTCAATACATTCTCAGAAATAAGAGATCAACCATTTGGGAACTTTCTATCAGTCTGAATTTTTCTTTAACTAGAAATAATGAAAAATCCGATTTTTGACCATGAAAATGGGGGGTGGACTTATACATGGGTTCGACTTATACATGGATAAATACGGTATCTACACATGCAACATCTAACTTAACTAATCAAACACAAGATTAAAAGGGCAAGCAAAGTATCACTTGAAATGTAACTACTACACTTTGTATGGTTTTCTGCATATCATGAATAAGTGCAGGATCAGTTAGGTGTCTAATTATAAGGTGGAGTATACCAATGGGGTCTTCACAAAACTCTTGAACTCAGGATTTAAACTCACTTTCTGTTGTTCTTTGTCTTTAGGTCGGTGAATAAGTAGGGGCTGCTCCAGATCTTGCAAATTTATGCCATAGACTTTACTAGAAACCAGAAATTGAGGGCAATGAGCAAACAGTCTATTTTCAATGATTTTCATATACACTGATTGTGTTCAATAGATACCAGATAAACAGGTGGTTGCTTTTTAAAAGAATTTTTCACTGAAAGAAAATGTCCCAGATGCCCATTCCCACTTCAGAAGATGGTTACCACATAAAGGCAGGCATAAGCAGAAGAATATCAAAACCATCCATTCATCTTGTGCTCAAGCTTGTGTTGCAGCCCTCCCTAATGATGCATAACATTTTATGCTAATGCTTAAATTGTTAGTGGAGACTTGCTAATAGGGATTGCAAAAGAACACTTCATAGAATTACTTCATGCAACAAACAACAAAAATGAAAACTTCTAACCAAGAGCTGACTTAGTAAATTGCAAGTCATTATCTGATTTTAAGCTAAACTTAGGAAAGTACGTGAAATAAGTAAAGTAAATTCCAATTATGAATTATCATTATTTATCTTGTTATCTGGACATTTTTACTTTTATTTAATTTATGTATATGTATATGTATATGTATATGTACATACATACATATATATATACATATATATATATATATATATATATATATATATATATATATATATATATATATATATATATATATATATATATATATATATATATATATATATATATATATAATTTTAGCGTTTATTTATAGTTGATGTGATATCTAACAAGATTTTATCAACTCAACAAATGTAGATGTAGAGTAAGGTTTAGTCACAGCTTAATTTGCAGTTATATGGAATCTCCTAAGAACAAATTAGTATTGATTAATTAATGAGTAAGAAAATCTGCAATTTTGCACAGTGTAGCCCATTAGTGCATAAATCAGCTATTTTGTGGGAAAAACCCAATATAAGGGACTTGTCAGAAATTAGCAGGGGGGGGGGGGGAAATTTTAAATTTGGGGAAAACCCATCCCTGCAAACTGAAAAATAGACTAAAAATCATGAACCCCTCTTGTATAAATGATAAAATCTAGTTCTTGCAATACATTTATGCTGAAGTATTATGAAAACTCAAAATATATTTCTAATCTGTTCTTTGTCATGCTACATACATACATTTTCGATGACAGCATTAAGAGTCCAACTGATCACTTGACTCTCCTATTTCTCCCAATACAAAGTCTTCATCACTAGAACAAGTGGGTAATGCCTCATCCCCTTCATCTACCTCACATTCATCATGATCATCCACCTCTTCCAAATAAAGAACTTCCTTTTTCTTCTGTGGGTGAACCTCTACATGATCACGGGCATATATTTGCATGACCCTCCCCTTTTAATTTCTGACAAGTCCCTAACAGCAATATCACCCCTTCCCTTGAGAATGCAAAGGAAAACCCAAGAGTTACAGCCATACCTGTAATAGTCCACATACGACATCTGCTCTCCAGTATGGAATGTAAAGGTACTTGTTGGGTTCTGATCAAAAGCTATATCATCAATTCTATATGTCTTGTTGTTGTACCTAGTTTTTAGTAAGTTTTAATTGAAAAACAAGAATCAATCAAGACTGTTACCATTTCATATACTCGAAACAGACAAGTAAGTTAATCACCTTGTCAATACAATATTTCCTACAAGCTGTTTCTTGCATTCTTCTTGAAAGCGGTCTTTTCGCTTTAAATACAATTGATGCCTGGAGAGTAAAGAAAAAGCAAAAAAGAGTACAATCATGGTGAACTTTCATATTCTTTAAACTTAATCTGCAAAAGAAATATACCTCAAGACCAATGAAATCCAAACTTCATATCTTAGGAATATGCAAATGAACAATAACTCACATAAAATCATAACAGGTTTCTGTTCTAAGAAGCCTGTGCGATACATCACATAACAGCATCATTCCACCTGAAATGAGGAAAAAAAATATTAGAGAGCAAGAAAAGGGAAGTGTACTATTTAGCTGTTGTACATGTATGAACATCATACACTGTACCTTCATAACACTGAATCGAAGTGATGTAACCAGGCCACAGTTCAATCTTATGCTGAGGAATACTGGCAGGTCTATGGGGATCATAGTAGTATCGCCCAACTTGTGTAAGATCAAGACGTGCCATAACTCTGAAAGGAAAGTAAACTATCATGATCAGTTACCTCTGTGCCCCACAAAAACACTGATAAACCCAAGGTGCAATAGCCCAACAAACACATTAACATGTTTAGTAGTAATCTCTTTCTTTTGAGCATCTCACTAAAAAAGAATTAACAAATTAAATTGACAAATTTGTGCAAAGTTCTTTTTTGTTCCATATTTAATTACTTCTGTGTGTCTAAGTTGCCCTACAGGGTGAGCTCAGACGAATTTGGAACTCATCACTTGTTGAGTAAGACAGTTTCTGTAGAATTTCATATTTACACTATTTTGAAATTATTCATGATAACCAATGACACCTAGATGTAATGTATTTGTTAAATGAAAAAGTACACTTGCGTAAACCTATGGGCACAAAAAATTAAAAATCACCTTCTAAATATTATGTTTAGCAACTGTAAACAGTCATCAGGTGGAACGACTCTTGTAAGGGTAACTGTGAGGGCAACTTTTTCTCCATCTGTTCTTCTCTCAGACTCTAAGACAGTCTGTAATAAGAAAATCAGTCAGCAGAATTAGGAATTACTGTTGACTCAAAACATCTGTTTTGTACAACCATTACTTTGTTAACCAACTATGAGGTGTCACCAGTGATCTTCAAGCACTCCAAAGGGCAAAGTCTTCAACACATGATACACACCAGGGAATCCAACTTTATAGTTTCTAAATTCAAACTATACTTGATTCAAGTTGGTAAGATTTGGAGCAAACAAACTTGTCTTATTTAATCAATCAGTAAAGTGTAAAAGTCCATGACAAAACATCACTACTAACTGGATTTTCCAACTGTTTTGGAAGGAACAAAGTAGCCCCATCAAAAGCACTGGCTGGTCCTAAAACTTCCTTATGGCTCTTTAGAAGACCATGTCTTGCTTTCCTGCTGTCAATGTCTGGGCTAGAAATGACAAAGAAAACAACTGAATATCTAATGGACAGAATCTATATGTCATTATAATCCGTAGGTTTCCAAAAACAAATCGCACTTCTGCGTGCAAAAATAGAACAGCAGCCCACAAGTAATTTGTCTACCACTTCACTAATAACTATATGAACACAAAATTAATCAGTCTTACCTGTAACTGACATGGTATTGATATATCTTTTGTTCAATAAATCTAATAGGTATGAAGTTAGCACAAAGTGATATCCTAAAAACAGGAAAAGAGATAAAGTGTGAGCAACAAACAATTGCTCAACATAAAAAGTCAATGAAAAACTAGTTAACATGTATTGGTATCAAAATGAATCCAATACAACTGAGGAAAGTACACTAACTAATTTTTTTTTAAGAGTACACAAGTGTTGGGCTGTGATCACTTAATTTTCCTCCAAATCTGAAGTAAACTTCTCTTAAGTAATAACAAAGGGATTATGGAGAAGTTAAATACTTAGAAAATTTTTGTGTTGAGTTTAAAACTTGGGAAGATATTCAAAGTAAGTAACCATGTTATTAACTGGCAACTGGTCTGGATATCATCTGTTAAATCAAGAAATCATGAGAACTCAAAAATTGGCAAAACTGCTAATTATGAGTGTTCATGGCTTCAATTTAAAGACCTGTTAACTTTTCTAATATCTGTAAGTAGCTTAACATAATTGAGGAGACATTCACCTCACTGAGTTTGGCCTTGATTCTCTTTTAAGTATTACAGTGTAGGTTCCCTTACAACCAGACAAATTTAGACATAAACAGACTGTTGTTGTCTTAAGAATATTGACCAGAAAATAGAATGATGATTTTTGCTGAAATGATACACACTTACTGTTTCCCAGCGGTACCTTTTTCGCCTGTTTGACTGCAAACATAAATAATAACATCACTTTTTGTGTTAACAGAAGTTGCAGGTAATGTTAACTGCTGCAACTGATTACAACAACAATTATGATGCATTCACTTATATTACCAAGTTGTACATGAAAGTTGTTTAGCAATGTTACAGTTGAAATGACCAGTCATAGAATTTTGACCACAAATCTAGACTGAAAGAGACAACTGTAAGAATGTTGCAAGAATAAAAATTGAACCACATCATAGAGTGATCTAGAGGCACAGAGTGTTTCTTGCTGACTCCACTAATATAGCACTGTGTTCTTTTTGCAAGGGAGAAAGAATTTTTTACCTACTGCCCAGAATTATTTTTTTTAATTTTAGTTTGAGGTAATTTTCATCCAGATGTGGAGAATATTCTCCAGTCTACTGACTCTAGAAAAATGAATGAATTAAGCTTGTAGAGATATTTCATATTTTCACTAAATTCAAGTCTTGCTTTGAGTTCCACTGCAGTCAAAACTACCAGAAAACATTTATCTTGTCACGAAAGAGCTCCCTCTTTATGAAATGAAGAATGAAAACTGATTAAATTGCTAAATAAATTTCACAAGCAATTATTTGAAGCAGGATTTATGCACATAGTTCCGAGCACACAAAAGTATAGGATCCACAATAACACAGGGTTTTGCTCATCGCCCCTCCTCAAAGTGCTTGCCAAGTAATATGGTACATTACCACATGTCTCATATAGGTGAACATCTCCTTACAAATTATCACTTACGTCTTAATGATAATATCTGATACTTTAAGTCCTGCCATCTGCTCTACTGGTGCCTATAACAAATTAGGGCAAGACTATCCTTTAAAAAACAATGACCTTGGAAATTTCACTTACTCATTATAACCCCATACTAATCAAATTTTAAAATGACATGCACCAGTCTACCTGAGGGCCTTTAGGCTGCTGGGGAGGAGAGGGGCGTCTCTCTGATGGAGCTGATGGTTGTGCAAGAGCAGAGGTTGGAAAGGGTTGGGACTGAAGGGTCTCCCCTGTTACACCACCTCTCCCATATGAAGCAGGAACAGATGGTGCTGAGGCACCTCTACCATACGATGCAGCCATCTGGGCACCTACATGGACAAGACCAGAAAAATATAAAAAATTGCCAATACAGAAGAGGAAGAATAAAATAACATCTCTGATTGAAAAAAAAGATTGCCAACCAAGTCAAGCACCTTGGCTCCAAACTTAACTGCACTATCTGTACACATTTATAACATCCTGCAAAAGGCTTTTTATGACTTCAACCTACATGAATACTCAACCAGCTATATAAATCATAACGTATTTCAATTCCCACTGACAAAATCTCATTAAGAAACAAGTACACCTCTGGTTTACAAAAAGAGCAAATTGCCAGGATGAAAAAAAAAACCCCACAACAATCTTTACCACATTTATTTTGGTTTATCATACAATTGTAAATAGTGCATAATCCCATAATTTCCCCCTTAGATCCCACAGAATTTTTATTTATTTTTCTGTACCCTATCAGGCCTTTCTTTACAAGATAATAGACACAGAATGGATTCAACCATAAGTATTTGGTAGCCACAGTTGCCTACTCATTATAAGGACAATGGAAAATATATTGAGAGACCAGAAACTTCAAGTTTGCAGTAATTAAATAGCTGAATGATGTGCTTAAAAGAAAATGTCTCTAAGTTTGAACAGCAGAAAGTTAAAAAGTGAAGTTCTACAATTCTCTTTACTACTAGTATGGATGAAAAGAAAGTTAACTGATACCTCTTCCATATGATACTGTTTGCTGATGAGATAAGGTTGAAGCAGGCTGCTGGCCATAAGGGGGTGCTGGACCTCCATACACTGGTCCTCCACGTCCATACATCCTACCATGCCCTGCAAAAACCAGCAAGCTCAGGGAAATGATTACATAGTTGATGTAAATGTAACCATGTAATAAGCACCTCTGAAGTTCTTGCGATTGCACTACAATAGTAAGCTCTATATGGTCACAACTGGTCCACAAACAATATGCAGAAGGTGTTCAGGATTTTATGGGAGGATCAGCACTACACAAATTGGTCAATCAGTTAAACACTTAACCCTTAACTCCCAGAAGTGACTAACATGTAACTTCTCCCTATGATATCAGGGTGTGAAATTGCACCTAATATAGGTGCCAATGCAACTAAATTTTTTACTTTGGTGACCAAATCCTGAAAAATAGTTGTCAAATTGGCAACTAGAATGCTTCATCATAACCGTACCTAGAGATATAGTGAATAAAAAAGATTTGCAAAGATAAATCAGTGGCAAACTTCCTCATTAAGTTTGTTTCCAAAACGCAGCACATGCATCTTGATCGATAACTAGATGCCATCTTGGATTTAGGTGAGCTTGAACGTTGTATATCGTCCATCCTAGTGTCCACTTTGTAGAAGCTTGTAGAACTTAATTTTGAAGGGTCTATCTAGAACACTGACAGTGTAAGGGAAAGGTTTTGTTTGTCTTTAAAAATGGTGACCAATTTTTTTTTAATTGGCTGCCACTTTAGGAGCCAAGTGGCTATCAGAAAAAAAATTAATTTTGCACCCTAGATGTCCACACATTTTTCTCACAAATGGTTTATGAGAATACTTAAACTTATCAGGAAGAAGTTTTTATCTTGCTCTTGCACCAAATTTGCACAGTTGATTAACAAGGAATCATGTAGCAGCAGAAAGAGAGAATTAACAATCAAATCTTTAGAGTTTAAGGGTTAAAGTGAAAAGCATCTAATTTCCATCAACAGCATTACCCCTGAATCAAACATGAAGGTCATAAGTATGGGGGAAATTATCAAGAACTCAAGAAGTTCTTCATTGCAATACAAATTCTCCTGCAAGTACCATAGGTAATGCACAAAGAACAGTATGGGAAACTTGAATACTACTGGTACCTGTAAATATTTTAAATAAGTCTACAGGCAGCCTAATTTTCTTGCTTGAGATCAAAATATCAAGATTCAAGTTTTAAAGAACGAGTGTTTCATATAGTAAATACACAAACCTGAGGCCTGTTGATATTGTTGAGGCATTTGTGACTGGTTTTCTTGTGGCATTTGCTGGGCATTTGATGGGTAACGTGGTTGCTGATGATAATGTGGTCCTTGCTGAAAGGAAGGCTGTTGTTGTTGTTGTGGATACATGTGTTGTTGTTGATAGGGCTGCTGGTGCCTGTAAGGAGGCCGTTCCTGCCGATAAGATGATTGTTGTTGTTGTTGGTAAGGCTGTTGTTGGTATGGTGGCTGCTGATGGTAGCCTTGTTGTTGATAAGGATGCTGCTGTCTGTAATGTTGTTGTCTTGGTTGGTAGCCACCTTGTTGTTGATAAGGAGGTTGTTGATAAGGGGGTTGTTGCTGTTGATACTGGGGAGGGTATGGTTGTCGCTGGCCATACTGTGAAGGACCTGGCTGGGGAGGCCCTTGATGAGAGAAATGCTGAGGATGCTGTGTCTGGCCATTCTACCAAGAAGAAAAAATTAAAATCATCAGCTGATGCATCTGGAAGAGTTGATTGCATCTTATCCTTCATCTCACTCTGTTATCTGTTATGTAGAAAATACATGTGACTATTCACTCCAGAACACCTAGCACCATTGCATAATAAAATACCTTCCAATCAAGAAAACCAAATCTTTCAAGACTTGACATTTTTACCATAAAAGGTAACCAGTGGTGTTATCTTGGAAAAAGGGACAACAGTAACAATCATTGCCCTTCTTCAACTGACTTGTGTGTCAGTCTTGCTGGAAACTATTCAAATTTCTTGTTGTAGGCAGAACGGTTACTTAAATCCTTTCTTTCCAAGAGCTGCTACACCTTCTGCTACAAGGTAGGAACATTGTCTCCCTTGATCTTCCTCATTTCTTTTTCTCCACTGTATCAAAACTTGTGGTTAAAAATTTAGCGAATCACTTACCTGTCCATTTTGTCCTTGGCCTGGAGGTCTGGCTGGTTGTTCTAATGCCTAAAATACAGAAAGATTGTTGATGACAATTCAAAAATACCAACTCTAACCAGGAGGGATAAAATTGTAGGTCCAGAATATGGCATAACCCTCATTCTAAAAACAAACTTTGGAAAATGCATACATCCTTGCAACTCTGAATTTGTTATTGCACAATATAGCTTTGGTCGATGAAATCAATGTTTAGCTGAAGAAGAAAAACCAACAAGCATACATCCCTAGGCATTAAAAGTAATATGGCCATAAGATTGATGTGAGAACTAAAATCAGTTTTCCAAGTCTTAGTTTTCCAGTTCTTCAGTTTCCTGATCTTGGTTCTTTAGGTCTCAGCTTTCTAGGTCTTAGTTTCCCGGACACCTGACTTAAATTGTCCTTGCCATAGAGGAATTTTGAAAGTTTTTTAAGGTTACAGGATGTCATTATTGGGAAGGAAGAGTAGTATTTTTTTTCTCACAACGATCTTTGAACGTGTCAGAACTCGGATTGTTATCGGTGACGTCAGCCAAAACCGAATGACACCTTCTGCAGTTCACTTGAGCAACCGACTCGAAATTCACTCACCAATATCGGTAAAACGGAACTACGGTATCGAATCAAACAATTACTGGTTTAAGAAATACTTCATTGGTCAAAAGAAAAACAAAAACACTCAAACCACAAACAAAGCCACCGTCCCAGCTGAAGTTGCCCTATCATACAAACGTGACCTTTCGATGAAATACGGGGTCGACGCGCGCTTTTTCAATTCGAAATTAAAAACTGTTCTTTTTTCTTTCACAGTTAGCTGGAAACCCTCCTTAAAGCTTGCGGCGGTAAACGAGTTCTTTCATATAAAATATTAAAAATTTCAACATCAGGCGGAGTCTTGTTTACAGTGTATGTTTTAAAACATTTAGATGATAAAGAATCCCATTGTGCAAGGTTTCGTTAGTTTGCTTACCTGTAATAGCGCAGCGCCTCGTCCTCCACGGCCAGTCATGCCGTTCTAGTAGATACTTAAACCCTAAATTTGTTAAAATGTTAAAAATATATTTTAAAAAGTTACGGAAATCTCCACGCGCACATGTAGTGCGTTACTTACTGAGTTTAGACTCGTGCTAGTCAGCAACTGCTAACCGAAGTAAGCATAATGAACTGGCGGCAACATACCATAATGATCCGACACTTAGTCTGACCAATCAGAAGCCTAAATTACTATTCGATAAAGGATCGTAAAACTACGTAAATAAATCGACTACGTTCCATCTATACCGAGAACTTTCTCAATCGCGCCTGTCGTAAGCTGCTGTCATTCCAGCCATGGAGAAAGACGACTGTGAAAAGATGTCCACTAAAGGGCGGGAAACTCCAAGGCTAAACATGGAACATGGATTTATGCAATCCATAATAAAGAATCAAGTCGACAGAGATGAGTACGACAAAGAACAGAAGCTTTTAAAGTTGCAAAACAAGCCAGGCGGGCCATCTAGGAGAGAAAGGCCGAAAAGAGCGGCAATGCAAGTTTACGTTCCTCCACATTTGAGACAGAAAGGAACACAGAAAGAGAAAGAACAAGGAACCGCTAGTAAGCCCACATCAACCTCTCCTAGTGGTGAGCTTTGGCCTTGTTTTACTCTTGTTTGTGTTTGTATGATTCACCACAATTCAAATTGGGAATGGTTGAATTGTGGCGGGAATAGTGGCTGAAAATTGATGTCTGTGCATTTAACATCAACATATGTCCTTTGTTATTAGAAAGGAACGAGAGCTTTTCTCAATAAACCTTATAGCAGCACTCTTTTGATGAAAGAAACAAATCCCTGTGAACCATGTTTGTTTATAAACTGATCAACTGTATCCTAGAACCCTTTAAAATAAACCTTTACTAGTTGCACGTAAGACGGTTGTTTACACATGGTTGACTAGTCTTCTCCTCGAGAGTTTGATCGCTCCCAAACTGTTAGAGATTAAGTTTAAAAATAAACCTTGTATTAAATTCTCAACATTATCACTCGCTTTGACAATGCTAAAATCCAAGAAGGTTGTAGGGTGGAGCTAAGTCAGTAGTGCATAACAGCCATAGCATACCCCCGTTTTTGCAGGATGAAGTGAATACAAATAGTATCAACTCCTAAATGGGATGTCAGGCTACTATATGTAACCCCCTCCCCTCCCTCAATTTTTATTTCAGGCTTCCAAGCCATTTTTCTAGAAGTCATCTAATAGAACAGACCCTTTTAACACCTTAACACTAGCATTCATATTCTCTTCACTGTAACCTATACATTTCTTAACCCTTTAACTCCCAGATCAAATTTGCAATTCTCCCTACTGTCAACCACACAATTATTATAATGTTAGTACGGAGAATTTAGTATTGGATCAACTAATTATTCCAAAATTGATAATTTCTTTATTCTCATCACTTATCTCATTGGCATTGTATTAATATTGTAAGGGGAAATTCTGTCTTGGTCATTCATGCAAGTAAAAGGGTTAAGGTGCAGACAATGAGAATTTTTATTAATAGTTAAGAGCTTCTTTTGATTGGTGATCATTCCCTTTGTTCTCGTGACTTAACTGTTTGATTCAGGGGTGATATTGTAAAGAGAAATTAGAAATTACTCTTATGGGCTTAATGGTGGTTAGGTTGTAGTGCAGTATGTTATGCCAACAGGTAGGATAGTGTTATCCACCCTTTGAAAGACTAGGCCCAGAACAGAGCTATCTGGCTAGGGTTTGAATCAAGATCTCTCAGTCTGGAGTCTAACATGCTACAGGTAATGTCAGCCCCTTGCTTGGTCCTGCCAAGTTCCATCACCCCCTATGAAGCTCTGTCACCCCAAATTAATGGCAACCCAACACAGAACTACTGGTTAGGCCCCAGTGACTCCCATTATTCTACATTATCTAACATAAATATATGTACTTGCATAGCAGCTTCAAAAACAGAAGACTGGGAAGCAGAGGAAAAACCTGCCTCTGAAGTCGCAATCCAGATGAAGCTTGAATTTGTTAGACAGGATGGGAAAGTAAGCAAATTGGACATCTGTGAGGTAAGCACTTTAGCCTTACAGTACCATGAAACATGAACATTTGTTGGGTTTAAATTTAGGCTGATTTTGAAGCTTTACCTTGATATGCCAAATAAGTTCCTTTACAGAAAAAAATCCTACCATGTACATGCAAAAAGTTTTATGGTGCCAAATTTACCCCCTTTGTCAACTAAAAAGCTCTACAGACTCACAAAATATCATCAACCAGTCATCAACTGTGTGGATGTCATGATATGTGGATATTTGTCTAAAGTGTGTGTACCTACCTGTTCAGGTATTGAGGTAGAGATAGTGGATAAGAAAATGCCAGAAAGTAAAAGCAGGTGTGAAAAAAAATGTGAATGACATTGAAATTTAGCCACAAATTTCTGCTTAGGAGGTAGAGAAAGTTCTGATGGTCAATGGTTAACAAACACCCAGTGCAGCTAAGTATTTCTTTGACTGATCTTTCCTTTAATTTTCTTGCAGGGAGAAGATCTTAAGAAGGTGGTGAGCAGTTTTGGCCGTGCCAATGGCCTAGATGCTCGACTAAGAGATGCTCTGTATCATCGCATTTCCACAGCTTTAAAGGAGAGAGCAGTGTAATGACAGCAACTCTTCTATTTGAATTTATTCATATTGAATAAACTTCTTGTTACATTTTATTTTATACCTATTTCTAAGTTCACAAACTTTCTGGCAAAAATAGCTTGTTTGATCATGTGATATGAAACTCTGAATATGAATATAATTAATGTGTCATAGTCACCTTAAGTTTGGACTCTATCAATAGGATTTTTTTCTTAGCCTCATCTAAATTTGAGGGGTTTGGAAGAAGTTAAAACAGTCATGCAAACCTTAGAGGCCGTCAAAGATTTGTGTTACTCTTGAGAATTCAACCCAAGATTATTTAATAAGGCTTTTTAATCAAAATGACAATATTCCTTTATTGCTTTTGTGAGATCTCTGTTAAATACTTGTGTACATATTCACACTCTTATCTTAACACACTGATTGCCCAATGAGAGCTCATGTACTATCTTAATTAATCTATTCATTTAATAGGAATAAGTTTTGTTAAGAAAATTTTTTTAAATTGTTCTGTTTACATACTGGAAATCCTTTCAAAGAATTTATTTATAAATATGCAGATTTTATTCTATTGGGAGATAGGAATATGAATCATAGGTTTAATGAATGAACCTTATACTGTACAGATTTATATTTTCGTAAATTATTTCAAATATGGATGTTTTTATTAAAGGTTTTGTTGCATTATTTGATCTGTTAAAATTTTTTCCTCTTACATTTAAGCTTCTAAAAAAACTTTGATCAATGCTAGAAACCACCTTGAAAATATGATAAGTGGGTGAAAGTAGAAGGTACAGATTTATATTTTCATAAAATATTTCAAATATGGACATTTTTATTAGAGGTTTTGTTGCATTATTTGATCTGTTAAAATTTTTTCCTTATACATTTAAGCTTCTAAAAAACATTTAATCAATACTAGAAACCACCTGGAAAATATGATAAGTGGGTGAAAGCAGAAGGCTGAAAAAACATCACCAGTAACCTTTACAAAATATAACAACATAATTTTTGTGTGCATGACTGCGACCTTTCTAAAGATGTGCCTGATTTGGGTCATTCCCCTCAGCACCCCTCCCAAGTATCTTAATTTTTTTTGTCCCAGTCCCTCCATAAACAGGTGTTTGCAATGCAGATACTGAAATACCCAAAGTAACATTTCACCTATCAGTACCCCTGAATGGAAACACCCAATGGAAATAAAATTGATGTTAATTCCTCTCTCATGGTTACTGCAACATATCTAAATTAAGTTTTGGGAGGGGGGAACTTCCAGATTCCCTTTTTGTCCCACATTCTTGACAAAACCAACTCTTTCGCACAAAGTTTGGGTTTTTATTTATCACATGTCATGAAATTAAATTACAGATGAGTATAACAAACTTAAGTCTTGCCGAATGCAGGTTCTGTGAAAGAGAGAACACCAGTCAAAAATATCTATTCCATAAAAAAAAATAAAACTTACACTAACATGAAGCATTTATGAACAACAACAAAAGGAGCGTCTTTGAGGCTGAATGTGAAAATAAACAGAGCAATGCCACATCATTCAGGCCTTTTCGGAGAACACCACAGATACCACGCCAAAATGGTAAGACTGGATTTGTCAGTTAACTTTATTTGCACTTTGCATCTGCAGTATTGAACTGTGTTGGTTTCTGTCAGCTGAAAAAGTGTCTTGAAACTCCATAGCTACAGCATTTAAGTTCTTTATTTCTGGTTCATGCTCATGGTATCTAACCTATTGCCACTTTTTTCTTTTCTACCTGACTAGACAGTATCCATTGGTGCTTTTTCCTTTTGTAACTCATAAATCTGTAAAACATAACAGACAAGACAAGATTTTGCACATTCAATTTTCCTTTGATAAATGAACGAGGAAATTAACAATAATAATTGAGAACCCTTATTCAGTGTTCTCCCTTATTTTAAGCATAACAGGTAAAATGAATTTTCAAACCGGTAAAGGAATCCTTCTACCTGTTGAATTTTTGAGAATTCCAAGCAATTTTAAACGGTATTAAGAGGTACTACAGACGGTAAATTTTACTGGTTACTGCCTGAAAAGGAGAACACTGCTTATTAAGACTGCCCAATGAAATCATGAAAATCTTGAACTCCTCACAACAATTGTGAAAAACTAAATAGCAAACTGTTTAGTACTTAAATTGGATAATTGTGTTGTGAACTGTGACAACCCATTTTACCTGTAGAGTGCCTGTTTTAACTCAGAGTATAAATGAGTACAAGCAAACTATGGAGAACTCTTTACAGAATACTTGGAGAGGGGGGAGGGAGGAAGGGATTCCTTGAGGTGGACTACAGTATCCTAGCGAGAAGGAGTGGCAATACTACCACTGTTTCACAGTTACACAGCTCATGGTCATGTCATGGTTTACCATTCCTAGAGGGAGTTCTCCAACAGCTCTTAAGGCAGCCAAAGCATAGCTCACCCCATTTTCTTTTTCTGATTAAAATATTAAAAATTTCAAATCCCAAAAAAATAAGTGCCTAAAATTTTCCAAGTTTGAAAATTAAGTAACAACAACTGAATTTAACAATCTCTATATTTTTTTATGTTGTATACCTGTATATATGAATCAGAGAGAGTTATCACTTGAGGCAAAATCTCTTTCACATGAAGATCTTGGAGTTCAAACCACTTGTTTGCACCCTAAATATACATATCAAACAATAAAAACCTCAGTAATGTCCTCACCCCCTTTAAAATAGCAATACTAATTACACAAAGAAAATGAATACTGTATTAATCTTACTTTGTGTAGGATGTGAACTTTGAAAGTTCCAGCACCTGTGGAAGGAAGCAACATGACATTTCTTCACCCTGTGTTTAATGAGTTTATAATGCATGTTTTCTCTTTTATTCACATTTTTTAGGCTTCTTTGCAACAAGAAAAGCCCTCAGGTGTTTCCAGGACACAAACCACTCCTGAAACTCATTTGAGAGTACAACACTTTTTGAATTTATCAATGCTGTCTCTCTTTCTACTAAAGCTACAAAAGGGCTGAGGGTAGGGTTGTGGAGCAAGGATTCTTCTACCTTGCCCCTCTCCCCCCTCCACCCCTCTATCTCCTCCCCTACAACCCCATTTTGCAGTAAAGCTGCCAACAACAGTAGTATAATTGGCTATTTTAACAACTGAATGGCTTACATTGTAATTACTATTGACAAACCAATATATTAAATTTGAGTATCAAGGCTCAGACACATTGGGCAACAAGGAAGCGCACAATTCTTTAGAAACAACTCACAGTCTCTGCATTTGCTTAGTATGCTTTATGAGACATGGAGAATTTTCAGGAAATCTTTGTCCATGGGAAGGATATAGGATATTGTACCTTTATGGTCTGAATTTCTGTAAAAGTTGTATCAGATTCAACAAAATAAGTCCTGCCAACTTGTTTTGGGTGCAGCACTTAGTTGGTTCATGCTGTAAAGTACCCCGATGTCATGCAGGAGATTGAGTACCCAAGCTCCAGACTGGACATATACCCAGGGTCTTTAAATAGCTAAAGAAAATGTGCTACTTTTGCTTTGACATCGCAAATGGTTAGCAACCTCTAGTCTTCTCAGATAAGGATGAAAAGCTGTAGGCCCCATCTCTTGCATCTTCTCTGCACTGGTTAGCAGGGGATGTTAACTTAAAGAACCCATGCATTTCTTGCAAAGAGTAGGGAACGCAGCTCCTTGTGTTGTGGCCTGGCCTTGTTGTTGTTTATACATCTTATAAGTATTTCCTTTATAGAAAGAGCTTGGGGCAATAAAGGAAGAAGAAGAGTGGATGATGGAGATTTAAGGGGATACTATCCCACCTTTGCTTGGCTCTCCTTCATGACAAACATTTGCAATCAGATCATACTGAGTGTGGGGATGAGCATCTTGCACAGCTGGGTCTGATACCAGGAACTCTGCCATGTCCACCCCCCTGAAAAACACACAAAGCACTGATGATTTAGTTTTTATGGTGCTAAATGCAAATTTAAAAGGCAATCAAACAAGATAATTTGAGGTGCAGGGGTGATTTGTTGTGTAGGAAGGTGTATACCGTACTTTCAATAATGATTCACTTTACTGCCCATGGGAAGGAGGGAGGTGTTATTTACTTTGGGTATCTCAGGGGAGGGCACCCATTCAAAACAGGGTGCTTATTTCTTTATTGAAAAACAGCAGAATGTGCAAAAAGGCTTGATTTTTATTTGAAAAGGATCAAGAAGAATTGAAAACGGACTAGTTGTCCTTGGATCCTTCTAGTATGACTGGCCAAGCCATTGTGGCAAAATTTTAAGATAAGATCATTCATTTGAAGGAAATGTGCACTCATGTGGACATAATACTTTATAGTTGAGAGACTAAGAAAAAGGCCGTTGTTTCTGTAATTAGGCTTTAAACATGTACTCTAACTGTGTACCACTGAATTAGAGTAGGAGTGTTGAATGAGGATGATTACCCAATAGGGGCACTTATCAGAATAGGGGTGCTCATTAACCCTTAAAGTCCCACTAGTGAGCGACAAGACAGAATTTATCCTTACACTATCGGTAAGATATCAAGCAGACAAGTAATGAAAATAAAGTAAAATATCAATTAGGGGATTATTGGTTGATCCCCAAACTAACATCACATAAATTGTGTAGCAGACTGTAAGGAGAATTACTAATGAGATCTTGGGAGTTGAAGGGTCAGAAAAACAAATACATAGGGGGTGCTTATCAGAGAGGGGACACTTATTGGAAGGAGGACATTCTGTCTTGGTTACTGAACCAAGTTAAAGGTGTTACTTATATATCAAAGATTTATCAAATTGTTACACAACTTACTTGACTGGAAAGTTCACAACAGTGGGATTCTTCTCCACGAAGAACATGTTCTTTGTAAATCTCTAATAGTAGAGGTAAAGATTACATTGTCATGATTTAATAGATAGAAAAATCAAACAGGAAAATTCTAAGCCAAGGAAAATTGGAAATACAAATGCCATGACATTAAATAAAGAATTTCATGTTTCAAAATGTTTCTCACACATTATAACACAGTGAACACAGAAACAACATAATTTCTTGTCTGAATAAATTTAGAGAGGGTATCAAAGGAAGGAGAGGGGTCCTAATCACATTTCATGCACAGATTTTAGAGAAATAAACAGGGAAAACTTTTCTCTTCTTGTGTACAAGGTTTCAGGGAAATCATGCAGTTTTCACAAAACAAAAGAAAAAATTTCATGGGTCTCAGACATTTCAGGAGGCACATCACACCTTGTTCTGGTTCATAAATTGATAAATCATGCTTGGCCTTTTGTAACATTCATGCATTAAATAAAAAATTTGACGTTAATCACACATTGTGTACAAACCCTTTGCCTACCTCCTTTTGCCTTTTTTTTTTTTGAGCAAAAAATTAATTAGATCGTGCCCAAATAACACATACCTTAACACACATGATCAGATATTTTGGTAACTTTGTGAGTTCAAACTTCTTTACAAATGTTTCCTTGTATGTTTTATATTCCTAAATATGAACATTATATGACTGTTGTTCAATATTCAGACACATGTAACATCCAGATGCAGAAACAAGTATGCATTCCAATAATCACTCATGTACTTAATATGAATCACCTTATACTTCAAACCTTCAACCCTAAGAATGACTGGCTTCTAAATTCTCCTCACAATATCACCCTTGGCTCAAATATAAAGATCATGAGAATAAAAGAAATGATCCCCAATTTTAGAAGTTCCTGATGGTCAACTTGAAACAATTAAAATTCATTTTAATACAAGTTTGCAAGCACATAACTGAAAAAATAAAATGCCCACATACCTTTTCTGATTTGCCATCAAATTTGCTTAAAAGCTGGAACAATGGCACCTGATAAAAGAGAAAAAAAATGTTAGTTGCAAGTAAACCAGAAGTTCCATCAACTTTGAAAAATCATCGTGTAAAATTAAAGCCCTTAAAAATCATTTTGTTTTTCTTAAAATTGGCCTTTTTTTGTCAACAGAAAATCAATACAACACAATGCAATTTTTTCCTGAGAAAAATATGATACTTTGCTTTTCAAACTATCTTTATCTGCATTTCTTTACATGAATATTCCTTGTCAACAAATTTGGGAACTACCGGTACCTAGTCCAAGTTTTGAAAATTTTATATATCATCACAAAAATTGATGAAAGCTTCCTTGAAAACTTTGATTTGTAAATTGTTGTTTGAGAGCTCTTAGAAATGGGGAAAAGAAAACATTCTAACTAAAACTCTGCAATGTTTTGAATGTTACTATGTTAATTTATGTTTGTTCGTATCACAAAGTAAAATTTAAAAAAATTTCTGGTAAACATCCTAGACTCTATTAATAGTAAGATCAATGTCAGTATCTCAGCAACTGCACAACTACCCCTCCCTTGACCAGTTACACCCTAACATCAGTAGACATATTCTTCATACTGTTCTCAATACATTTCCAAGGTGCTGACAAGGAGAATTTATTTAACAATCTAGAGCTTCTATTGATGGTGATCATTTCCTTTTTCCTTGTGACCTCTATGTGTCATTTGGAGATGATATTGTAAGGAGAAATTAGATGATGGTCACACTCAGGGGTTAAAGGGTTAACACAACAACAGTTAACTGATAACCAGTTAAGGATTAATGTTGGGTTAGGGGAGGGGTACATGTGCAGTTGCTCAAATACCAACATTGATCCTAACACCTTTTCAAAAACAGATTTATTTTCAACCTCTGGCTAGTCAACTTCAAGCCAAATACATTTAGCTAGTAAAATCTGGAGTACTGACCTGTGGAATGATGTTCTGCTGATATTCATCCTAAAAAGAAACCAGTTGAATTAGCAAACAGCACTTTTGAAGACAGTGCTTCCTTCTTGACCATTAATAATGCCTATTAATAATGTTCTTATCAAATTATTGAAGAGTGACTAAATCCTTAAATTTATTTTTTCTTTAAAGTATCCTTATTAAAAAACAGGAACCCATAGCAGTGTGGATTGTGATGAAAGCAGTTTAATACCTTGTACAGGGGCGATGGTGGAATATCCAACATCAAGTACATGTAGGGAGAATCAGTTGTAGTTTCTGTAAAAATAAACAGATAAACATTCAAACAAGATAATCTGGTTTTGTCAATTGAGTTGATAATTAAAAGTACTAATAATTGGCCACTGGAAAGAGTTTCAAAGCTAACATCAGCTTTCAAACTCATGACAGTGGCCAATTTACTTGATCAAAGTAGTCAACAAAACCAAATCACCTTGTTATTCTCTTCCACCAATGCAACACCACAGTTTCTTTAGAAACTTACCCCTTTTTCCTGACAAAGAGTTTTCTAAGTTTTTCTCAAGATCTTAATAAGCAGTTTCTTAGATATAGATTTTGTGATGAAAACTAGCAATTTAAAGAAACAACATTTGGAGCTATCCAAGGTCATTTTCAAGTTCAAGTGAAATGTAAAATAAAAAAATTAGTATATAAATATTATATTTAAAAAAATGGATGAAAATGTTACAAGCATTTCAGATGTGTTAAAAATTAAATAACTACAAACAAGTCAAGTATTTTGAGTTTAAAAATTAACTTAAATTTGCTCTTAGGTGTCTAAGCAAACAACCCCAACATAACCTGCATCAGACAGGTCACACTTAACCCTTTAACTCCCAAGATCTGATTGTTAATTCTCCCCTCTAGCTGCCACACATTTTACTTGTAAATGTTATGAGAATTTGGTGTTAGATTAGGATAACACCTTCTAACTGATAAGTTTTAGTATTCTTATTAACTGTTTGCTGAATAATGTAAGGATATTGAGAGGAGAGGTTTCATGTTAGTCACTTGTGGGAGTTAAAGGATTAAAAACATAAACAACACATTTTTTGCTCACAAGGGGCTGCTTATCTTCCTGAATTCTGATTTTGTTCTTAACCTTTTGACTTGTATTATTTTTAGACGAAAACGCTTTAAGGTTGACAGCATCCTCTCACCATAAAAATAAAAATAAAAATTCACGAACATACCTTTATATTCTTCTTCATCCACAACCTTTTTCGTTTCTTCCTCATTCTTAATGAAATTCAAACAGAAAAACCAAATTACAGTTATAAACATGAAATTCAAACAATAATTTTATAGTAAACTAACAACTATTTGTCAAAGTGGAGGTGGCTGGTAATGGATATTTTCTGAACCATGAAGAGGTGAGGTAAATATCCACTGCCACCCACTAAAGCTGACATTTCTGGGTGCAAATCCAGCGCACATTGCTCATAGGTGAATAGCAAAGGATATTTGGAGTTTGAGTAGCCAATCAGGGTGCACCTTCAACGCTGCCCACTATTTCAGTAAATACTAAAACATAACATCAAAAAGACTTGTTTTAAACAGGTATAGGATTATTTTCCTATTCTGTTCTTACCTCAGTCTGGGGAAGTTTACGAGACGTTACATTCATCTTGCCTCTAAATGTTTTGTAAACAACACCTAATGTTGAAATAAAAGGAGCAGTGTAAGATAAATCGCAAAGAGATACCTGATAATTCCAGCATACACCAGAACTATTCTTAACAATGTTGTGTTGAACAAAAGTTTATCTGGAAACACCTAATATTTGGGAAATAGGCTTGAATTCCTCTTTTCACCAGTCTTTTTTCAAATTTTATTTCCATTAATTGAAAGTTTCAATTGAGTATCAAATGAAAAGTGATCTAGGATTGCTTTTGTTCTCCTTTATTTCACTCTCTGATTGGTCCAGGCAACTTACATCACCATCTCAAGCAATCAGATGAAAAACTAAAACAAATGCCAATTTAGTTACTTGGCTGCCTTTAATCATGCTTCAAGCAGGTTGCCTGTTTTTCACTTTAAAATCTACAGATTCAAGAGGAATTTTGAATGATAAATTATTAAAAATAATAAAATTGACACAGTAAAATTAAATCCTATATTCTCATTCCAGGGAGTTTAAGGGTCAGTGCTTCACAAACACTCATAAGTCAACTTACTGCTAGTTGCTTTCTTTGTTCCACCAAGAGTTGTGTGCAGAGAGTTAAGAAACCATGACAAAAATTCCACTGGATCACCTAATAAACCGATGAAAGTAAATTATTACTGACAGTTCTAACACTGAAGGAATAATTGCTTGAATTTCAATCATCAAGCAAGCTCCCTGGTCAATTCTTTTCTTTTCTTTTTTCAGTTTTCAAAAGATTCATTCATTCATTCATTCATTCATTTTATGTCAGCTAACCTGAAGCCACTTTTATATACACCAGCAAGAAAATTGTAGGAAAAATTTTATGAGGATGGTTAAAGAAACAGGAAATTACTAAATTTACCTTGTTCAGTAAACTGGAATCTCTTTTTGCTACAAAGCACCACAGCCTAGAAATGAATTCATGAAACAGTCCTTAATCACAGGAAAGAAAGCACAACCATTTGAATCTCTTTTAAACTCTTTATACACTAACATCAGTATAAATATTCTCCACACTGTTCTCTATACATCCCCAAAGATGCCCTAAGCTGCTGACAAAGAGAATTTGTTTAACAATCAAGAGCTTCTTCAGCTGGTGATCATTTCTTTTAATTCTCATCAACTTATTGTTTGATTCAGGGCTGATACTCTTGGCAAAAATTAGATGCTATTTACTCTTTGGTGTTGAACAGTTTAAAGGTTGTGTTATAAGCTTTTATCTATGGAAGACTTCCAAGCTAAAATGTTAGCGACCCATTAAAAAAAAAAACGTCACACAATGTTTGTCATGAGTTTCTAATGGGTTGCCATTTAGATCAGTTTTCAATTGAGTTTTGCAAGTAATCCATGATTACTTCAGCTGTACCTGACTTTTCTCAGTCTATGATTGGTCCTGAAAACTTGTATCACCATCTCAACCAATCATATTAAAACTAAAACCAATCCTGATTTGGTCAGACATGTTTTCCTGCATTTAATAATTGTGGCATTTACTAAGTGGCTAACGATGATGTCAAGCTTGGCTCCAATTGACTGGTGATATTACGCTGATTGGTTTTGTCCCTTTTGAGACATATCTGATACTGCCTAATCTTTGCATAGTTGTTATGTTGATTATGGTAACTAAAAAGCAGAGGATGATTTTTTTTTCTGTTTGAATCAACAATCAGAAAATTAATGTGGGTCATTAAAGAAGCCAGCAATTAAAAATCTGAGAACAGGCATTAATGAAGAAAAGTTCAGATGAAAATATACGTCAGTACACCAACCTGCAACATCTCATGAGGGCTGACATGAGCTTTGAAGTTACGTGGATTCCAAATTTTTCTAATTAGCTCTCCAAACCTGTTAACTAAAACAAAAGTTCACAACAGGAAATAAATAAATTGAAATAGTTTGTAGACCAGAAAAGTTGATGACCATACAAATTAATAAATTTAACAAATGTTATTCATATAAAGAATTGACATGAGTGCATTAGAGAACGATAACAAGAGAAAAGAGATAAACAACAAACCAATTAACCCTTTAACTCTCACAAGTGATTGACATATAACTTCTCCCCATAATTTCTGTCGAGCATTTTCAACATGAACCATTAGGCTCAGGGGATTGGGTAACCACCCCCTACATTACTGACACAAAATAAATTGTACTGTATTGTATTGTATTGTATTGTATTGTAATATCCATATATATTCAGCAAACAGAAAATGAGATACTCAAATTCTTATAACCAATTTACGAGGTAATGTACAGCAGTTAGAGGAGTGAATTAACAATCAGATCTCTGGGGTTCCAAGATTAAGCAAAACAGACAGCTAGAGGTACTAAAAAGTGTTTCATTTATGGAAAAATAACTGCTTTTCCAGCATGTTTTCGCAACATACTAATAAGAATGTTGTATACAGGCACCCCAAATCATATGTGTGAAGCATAGCTTGGCATATTTCTCTATCAGATTGAAGTTGAAAACCATGCACCTTTCACCCTTTAACTCCCAGAAGTGATTAACATGTAACTTCTCCCTATAACATCTAAACATTATCCAGCAAACAGGTAATGAGAATATTCAAACTTATCAGGTAGGAGTTTTATCTTGATCAAACACCAAATTCTTGTAACTCATTTACAAGGAAATGTGTAACGGCTAGAGGGGAGAATTAACAATCAGATCTTGGGAGTTAAAGGGTTTAGTTTACTTCGTGAATGATGCTCTTGATATTTCTTGCATTGCTCCCAGGTCTTACCTAGAGGAAACATGATATCTCCAGGAGGACGCTTAATGCTTTGATAGTTTTCTTCTCGAAGAAAAAAATCACGAATTGGTGGGACGAATGCCAAAGCCTGTTGATTGAAATAAGGAGATCATTGGTTGTAAAACTCAATTAGTATTTTGTCATTGAGATCAGTCATAATTAATCCGTTGATAAAGTAAAGCAGTCTTGTTCAGTTCACAGCATGTGTCTGTGGTGAATATGATATTTAATAAGAAGTTAGGCTGAATCAATATCACAGAAAAACTGACCAATCAAAGCATGAACAAGACTTATAACATTGAACTGGCAAACAACTATTCATCAGAACCACAGTATTGACTTCAACAGACAATCAGGATGTAAAATACACAAAACATTTGTTTTTGTTGTTGTCTTTGTTTAATTTTTTTTCTCCATTTCAACAACTGCAAAGTTGAACCTTTCCCATGTGTTTACATCAGGCTATGTAAACATGGAAACCATTTCTTCAATAAATAATACAAGGTCAAAGACAGTAATTAATAATGAGACAAATAATACATGTAAAGCACTCTTTTAAATTGTTTTCCATTAAGTAATGTGTCTCTAAGTCCTCTAAACTTCCAGAAATGAATGATTAGAAACTTCTCCTTAAAATATGACAATACAAATTCCATCACATTGGAGATACAAGTTGACAAACTTGCTTTGACAGGACACTTTACTCTCTTTGTTGATAAGCAAAGAAATGTATGGCAGCTAGTAAGGAGAATTCTGAATCAGATCATGGGAGTTAAAGAGTTAAGAACAACCATCATCCTCACCTGTAGTACTACATTCAAGTAATCATTTGCTTTGATGTTATTCAGTCCTACAATTCCTGTAAGAGGATAAAACACATAAAAAAACCTAAACAAAAAAAATTAATAAAGGGGGTAATGTTCTACAGAAATTGTGGTGAAGCACCGGCAGAGGGTAACACAAGAAAATTTGGTTTTATCAACTGACTTGATGGTAATAGTGAACAACTGTTCACCAACTGTGGACCAGGAGTTGGCCAACAGTCGGCCAACAGTTGGCCAACAGTCGGCCAACAGTCAGCCCATTGTCAACCTATTGTCGGCCCACTGTCCGCCAACTGTTGGTTGACAGTCCGCCAACAGATAGCCAACAGTATTTTTGGGAACTGTTCTTAACTTTTACTGACTTGATAATGCAAATTGGTCACTGTATAGAGTTTCAAAGCTGAATCAAAGCTTTTGAACATAAGCCCTTTGTCAGAGCAATTAGAGGCATAATGGGTTGGGTTGTCCATGCTTAATGTGCAGAAAAATGTAGCCACACTATTGGTGGGAACATGGTTACATGAAGAACAAGAATAAATTAGTTTAATGAAAATTGTTTGTTAATACTATGGGGAAAAAGAGTGCTGATTTAAAAGATAAATTTTCTCTCTAGATTTTTGAGACAAAAATGAGACAGAAAATAATCCCACTAGCATGGCATAATTACATGATAACATGCTTTAAAAAAAACCAGAATAACCAAAAAAAAGGGTGCTACACTATTCCTAGAATTTAGTAAAATGCTAATATTTACCAGGTAGATAGGTTGTGCCATCAAAAGCTCTGGACAGCTTTGCTGATTTATCCAACTGCGTAATATCATTTTTGGTAAACGTTGGGTTTAAAACATACTGAAAAGAAACATATAAACTATCTTAGACTCTTTTCATATTTGACAATATTGTTGCCACAATTTATGTTTAAAATGATCTGAAATGGTTGAATGAGAAACAACTTCAGTCGTTTTTCCATCAAACGTCATATCTGTGACAATTTCAATTTTATTTTAAAAAATACTGATATTGAATAAACAAAGTAATACATAACAACCATTCAATTATGAATAATTTTATATACATTTAATTATACTTTAAAAGGAAACAATTGGTAAGGAAATTGCATTTGTTCAAACAATTTTTTGACTCTTCAAGTTGAGTAATTTAATCAGTAATAACTTGTGTGAATAATTGCAGACAGATGGCATAAAACTTATTTCAATTGTTAAAATTTAAACTTACCTTTATATCATCTAAAGAAGAGTCAATAACTTCATAGTTATCAGGTAAACAGTAAAACTGAAAGAAGTAGTAATGAATTTTATTCTTTACTTCAATCATAATTATAAAATGCCTATAAAAATACATTCACTTATTTGACAAAAACCTGTAGTTTAGAGTACAAGTTCTGAGTTTCATTTGATTCCAAAACACTTTGATAGCCAAAAAAAGGTGCTTTTAAATGCACGCTTTGAACAACCATTGTCTTTCATGTCTAAAAATTTGATGAGATAGATTTGCCTAAATGTCCAAAAGAGTTAAGACACAACCCTGCTCCCATTCTAACAACATGTGTTTTGGGATAATAAAATCATTTGCAAAGACATTTCTACACTGTCCAGTGAACGGTTATTGAAAATACTCAAACTTGTCAGGTACAAGTTGTTATCTTAATCTACCAGTGACACAAAGTTCTCTCAACTAATTTACAAGGAAATATGTAGCAGCAGAGGGTAATATTGGTAATAATAATCAGATAAGGGGAAATTACTGGTAATCATGAGACAAAGTGTTTATTGTCAGTCTCACCTTGAGTGTATGAAGATTAAGAAACACATGATGATCAACTTGTACACTGTGTGTGTAAGCATGAGAGCGACGTCCACGGCCTGTGGAATCAAAAAAAAAACACTTTACTATGCCCTAACAGTCACAAAAACATAGACTAAAGCAATTCTCACCTTGAAAATACTTTCCGCACACCAAGCAAGCATACACATTGATGTGTGATAATGACACAGAACACAGCTTCTCAAAATCAAAGTCGAGAACATGCCTGTAAAAAAAAAAAAGGGTTCTTTAGGGTATGTTTGGCATGCATAACCTGAGAGTTCGGATCAGTTATGGTGGACATTAAAAGAAAATCATGTTAAAAAGAGAAGGTTTAGAAAAACCACAACAAAATGAAGTCTTAAGGGAGCTAAGACATATTATACAGGGATTTACTCTTTGAATAGGCCATTGTTACAAGTAGATAAAGCAATAAATCAAAAAATTTTGCTGGATTTTTTTTTGCAGAATGGAGGTTTTTTTGTGTTGCTGGGAACTTAATTTTGCAATTCTCCTATCAAGGAGCAAGAAGTTAACACAGATGAAAATGTAACATTCACATATTTGATTACTTGCTGAATCACAGCACACTCTGGCTACATCATGTCAATGAATCTATAAAAATTTTAGAACCTTGCGGCCAAAAAGAACTGACCCAACAACAAAGTCAAACAAAAAAACCTATTATTTCCATCACCCTACTGCAGCTGTTTAATTTTTTTAATCATATATTTGTTCCTGCAAGAACTGATTCTATGTGGGTTGAGGTCAATCTGCAAAATCTACTCAAATCAAAACCCACAAAATTTTGTTTGCTCAACTATGTGGAAGTTTGTTACATACATGATCAAAAAATATTCAACAGTTGGCTACACTGTACCTGTCTATGGTGTCAAGATAAGGACAATGTCTACTCTGATAAGCGCTGTGTTCTGGAAAATAGAGAATAAAATCCGACTGGTTTTGTTTTTGGAGTGAGAGGGGTATTTTCAACACAAAGGATTTGAAATAAAAAGCTACTCTACTAATCAGAAATTTATCATGTGGATAAGCCGGGTAACTTTTCAGAAAAGAAGTCCGAAAGGGATCAGAAACACCATTTGTAATAAAACGAGAACTGGACACCAAAGTGAAGAGAAACAAAGTTCACACACCTCTTTTGGTAAAATTTCCTCACAGCCCCATACTATTGTAAAACAAATCTGTTTTCCTAATGGCAATGTATTGTTTTTGTCATTGTTTTCTCTATCCAAGAACTGAATGCATAATGTAGTATGAGGCTGTGCGGAAATTTTACCTTTACCGTAAACAACTTAAACGAGGAAAGAAGGGAACGTTTCAATAATTATGAAGAGGATTGTAGTTGTCATGATCAGTAATCGGTCGAATGAGTGAAAAACACGAGGATCACAATCAAATCTTCAACAATTTTGCTCTTCGCATCATTTCGAGTGTACTTATCCTGCCGGATCTACTAGCGGTACCTTGTTTTCTTCGAGCTTCTTCTTCTTCTTCATCGTCGCTGTAGTTTTCGACAAGAGGTCTTTTTATTCCTCGCACCTCTACCTCGTCTTCATCCGCCATTTTGAATCTCAGACTAGATTCCAGGCTTTGCGCGCCGTGAAATATGGCGGGAATGTTTCCAGGAAACCGCTCATTGTTAATCGCCAAGGATTCTCGGGGATCACGTGGAAAGGGGGCTAAAGAAAACTGAGTCTTACATTTATCTCATCCACCCCTATCTCTCCTGCCTCTTTTAGGAGCCTGAATAAGCAAGCTACGGTTTTCTGATCGGGTAAAATATTCATATTGCATGAGTAGAATATAGAATGTAATGGTGTAGTTTGATCGTCCGGGTGAGTGTAGTCCTGAGGACTGTTGTCGGTAATGGTGACTGACGTTTCGACAACCTGAGCGGAAGTCATCATCAGAGTCAAGTGAAAGTGAATATTTAACAATCATTCCATGGGCGCACGCTAGATGTGGGATGGTAAATTGCCAACGAGGCGTCTAGCGCCGAGTTGGCTACGACTAATCTCGCATCCAACAAACGCGAAGGGAATAGTTGTTTTATTAATTTTCATAAAATCCTGAACGTGTGGATATTTGGAGGCTCTTTTTCGGTGCAATGCATTTCCATACAAGGTGACTCGGAATATGAGCTGATAACCAAAGGTCAATGAACCACTCAGAACACTAGTGCATTATTCGGAGTTTAAAATACAATAAATGTATCCTTTGCTTAAAACTTCATCTGTGCAACCCTGGTAGTCGCACATTCAAAAAAAGAATTTGCTTTACGGTAGTTGCAGCTCTTTCATTTGGCGGTAAGTCCTTGGCTGTAAAATATATATCACCTAATCTGTCAGAGATTGGTTTTGCGTTGAAGATACAGAGTCATTTGAATTAGTGTAAACTTTTAGTTTAACTTAACAACTTAAGCAATAGTTAAAACACATACAGAAATCTGAAATCCAATTTAAGACACTTCATTTCAAGTCAAAAAATATTCGATAAGATGAAAGTTAGTTTGCCTCACTTTGCCTGCTCAGGCCGTAAGCCAATGCAGTTGAAAACTCCTTAGTTAAACTCCTTAACAAAGATTGTTCGGTTATATCCCGCTTAATGAACATATCAACACTAAATATTTGCCTGGAGAGAGGTACTCTATAATCTTAAATAATCTCGTTTCTTTCAAGTCTCAGATGTGTATTGTTAGTCACGCATTCTTCTTGCTTATTTTTTGTAATTGACAGTAATTGCTACTTGTTCAATTATTTTTTATAAACAACTGTAAAATACCCTTTTACATCAATTTTGAAGTATTTGTCAGTTCTGTAATGTAGTTTTCATTTTGTATTGTTGTATTCCGGCTAGATTGAAGTTAAACATTCTACTTGCGTTAAACTACTGCTCGCCTCGACTAGCTCTACCTAACTGCGAGCAGTGTTTATCTTATTTTGTATTTTAAAACTTCTAATAAACTTGTAAACTGGTGAAGACTTGAAAAATTTTTCTACAGGGTTTCGCAAAGTTAAGTCGAAAGCTCATTTCGTTTCTTCTTAGACTTTCATGTATCCTTTCAGAGATTTGAGAATTTTATAGCATAACTACTTTTCATCTGAAGCTCCAAAATTTTAAAGTGAATCGAGAGGAAACTTCCATAGTTATGCAACACAATTCCGAAACTGCGTACATAAAGATGGACGAACAAACAGACAAGTCACAACTAAATGTTTTCACCCTGATGGGTCATCAGATCCCCTTACGAGCTCAGGCGTAGTTGAGTTGAAATCGATTTAACAATATTTAAATATCCTGTTATAGACATCCAAATAAAGCCTGTTGTTGTGTATAAGGTCTTCTTAATCACGGCTGGGAATGCACAAGGCAAGCATATATTCTGAGAGGGTTATCAACCGTTCGCATCATGGATTTGAAACTAATTAATATATTCGGCATCGAAATTCCGACAAGCTTTTTGTGTTGCATCTGAACAAACACTGCTAAACCACGTGATTAATGCTTAGTATTGTTTAATTAAACTGCAACAATTTTTTAGGAGTCTCCTTGAACGCCTCGGCGGTGTATTTTTCAGTCAATTCGGTTACCTGTTACTAAACTGTTTTTATGTTTACGATTTCGGACGTTTGCAGCTAAACTAGATCGTTAAGAAGGATACATAACTTAATCAATGCGACAAAATTATATCTTTCAGTTCTTTCCAATAAGAAAATAGAAAATCATCAGAGTCATTGCTTAAATATGTCCGTCTATACAAGTAACTAACGGGAGCCACTTCAGTTCTTAACTTTCAATAAATTTTACCTTATCACTTTAAGTTTGTTTCTCTGTCTCCGAACACAGAGCAGTTCCTTTCCTTCAGCTTCTTAATTCCGTTTACAAATCTATTTTGACTGTCTTCCAGGTGTGGTCTCCACGTTTTTCGCCTTCATACTTGTAAACATTCCCGAGAAACCTTTGGTGGTACAGAAAAAAGTGACCCAGAAGTTACGCACCATGTGCGCTGGCCTAAAAAATTGTTTTCAATTGACAATCCGGGCAATTTCGCATAGGCAATACAAACCGTTTCTCCTAGGCGATAAAAGGCACTGGTATAGAAAAGTTTCTTTCCCAAAAACACAGCACAAACAATGCAGCTAGGGTTTGAAGCCGTTTGTCTTGATCTTGATTTCACCGCGCCCACCATCAACTCGCCACGTCTTTCATCTCTCTTTACATTTTTTTATACAGACTTAGGAATAAAGGGATACTCACCTACTGGCTTGGTTTTCTGCCGTATTGGAGTGACGAAAAACCTTGAAGTTTATACTAGGTATGTTTTCGTAAACTTTGCCCCGTTTACTAGGGATAACCGGTCTTCTAACGTACTGGACTCAATCAACAGACTCGACTGAGTTTAACTGTTTAATCGTTCTCGCGTATTCACTCAGTTACAGCAGGCCTACTGGCTGGGATCCTAATTCTTATACTACATTCTTTTCGATTGATCGTTGCTAAGCACTATGAAAAGGTTATTCGAGGTTACGTCAATCATGTACAAATTAGAAACTCCACGATAATGTTGTTGACAAAATTAACGTCACGCAAGTAATCACGCAGTCTCCGACAATTAGTTAGAAAGAAGACTTCAGGTTGTGTTTGTTTGATGGCTTCTCTAACTTCCTTCAAAACGTCTTCAGAAGCTGTTTCATCAATGACAACTAAGCACCCTATCGGCAGATTTAAGAGGTGTAGTACGACACGAATTACTTCCAGACCAAATGGTCTACTTGAAACCTCCGGTGTGATTTACCTACGGACCAAGTGAAGGGCTTCTAAGACACTACAGAGGTCAAGACAATCCAAGTTTAGCATCTTGAGGTCGAGATCTTCCAAGTTGAGATAGAAACGCAACTTTCTAATAAGCGGAGCGAGACATCATCTTACGCTGAAATTTTTAAAAGTTAGGGAGCGCAAAGGCATTGTTTTGGTAAACCCACTAAACAGTGTCTCCACATCCTCGGCTCGCAAAATACCACCTATCCCGATTATCTCCAAGGTTTCTAACAAAGGCATTTCTGGAAGGGAACGCCCAAACACCCTTGCAAACACTGGGGTCACGCATGCACCCTTCAGATTTAGTTGTGTGCGGGAAGTTAGTATGAAACAATCAAGTTTGTTGGCTTCCGTTGTGAAGCAGTCGGTGGTACTTTGAGCCTCAATATTTAAATTGAGGCGTTGCAGACGAGGAATAAATCTTAAGCTTTCCAGGAAACTGCATAATTTTCATTCATCTGTAAGCAACTGGTCAAGATTCAACTCGGTTAAACTAAAAAGATGGTGCAATCTTTTGGAGAGAGGGATAAGGCAATCTATCATGCTGAAGCCATGGAAAGAAAGCATCCTCCAAGACATCTTTTTTTAGAGCCCAGAAAACAGAGCGTTCAGATGATATTCTTGTAGAACACTACCTTCTACCCCACTTAACGCCAGCGTTTGTAACACCGTCATTCCAGGAAGCAGAAGCCCAAGTCAGTCTCCCTTAATGACAGCCCTCTGGAGATCTTCGCTGGTTTGGGGTTTTTCTGTGGTTGACACAGTGACAACAGCACTCCTGGCACTTGAACCAAAATCACTGATTCATACACTTCAAGATCAAGAGGCTATTGTTTCGATCGGCCAATCGAATTCGCCTTCGGAAATGGGCTCTTTTCATCAAAGTAAGCAGTCAGATAACAAGCAATACGCTGTGGAAGCGAGGTGAGGTATTTTTTTTGAGAATTTGACGTATTTTTTTTTTATTCCTGAGGGCGGTCGTAAATATGCCCATACAAACTCTTATAATTCCGCCATGACCGTTATTGCGTAAGATGATCATCTCACAGCTGGAGCTTGGGCCGCCTGTGGTGAGACAAATATTCTGCAAGACGACCTTCTTGTTTCCTTCGAAGTCTCTACAAGCATAGATCTCCGCTGATTGAAACAGTATAAAGATGGTGGCCCATTCTAGAATTCTTCTCTCTAAGTGTTCCGAGTTCCGTAGAGAAGGTGAATTTATCGACGTACGTTTAAAAGTGGGTGATACACTTTTCCCAGCTCACCGAGTTGTTCTTGCGTCGTATAGCGATTATTTCCGCACCATATTTACTGATGGGAAAGAAGCGAACCAGGAACTGATCGAACTGAAAGATGAAAGCATTTCACCGGAGATTTTCAAGATCGTTATGGACTCCATCTACAGTGGTGACCTTCATGTCAACCAGAAGAGCGTATTTGAGGTTCTTCTCACAGCTAGTCAGCTTCAAATCGCGAGTGTTGTTCAACTGTGTTGTGATTTCCTAAAGAAGGAGTTCATAGAAAATGGAATTGACCTGAAGATATACTCCGTGCTGTGTGCAGTCGCAGAAACACTCGGTCTGACAAATCTGCAAGAGGCCGCAGAGGCCAAGATGGCATCCATTTACAAAGATGTTTGCGAAAGTAAAGAATTCCTAACTCATATAAATGCAGATCAACTACACAGCCTTCTTGGTCGAGACGATCTCAATTCACCCTCTGAAGCTTTCGTCTTCAAATCAGTGATGAAGTGGATCAAATACAAAGGGGAAGAGAGGATGCCAGTTGCTGGAAAAGTTATCGGAGCTGTTCGTCTAGGGCTAGTAGACGTGAAGATAGTGATTGAAGAGTTGAAAACAGAAGAAATGCAGCGAGTTCCCGAGGTAAACATACATCTGCAAGAATCCATGATGCATCACTGTATGCCTTCACATGAATTTGCTGCAGGGAAAATGAAACCAAGATCAATGTGTCCGGTAAGAATTTAATTCAAGTCCTTTTACATTTGTCTGTTTATGTAAAAATTGCATTATTGTTCATGGCATACCCTGATCACTCGACTAAGGAGAGCCCGGTTTCATAGACTCTCATGACGTTGACTTAGTCTCATTATTGTTGCCCAGTATTTCCGATTGTGTCGGTGTAGAAAATGTGAAATCTTTTCGGCCGTGAGCGTTAATGTAATGCATGAAAGATCTTCCCTTTCTAGGAGAAATTGTTAGGTTACCTTATTCAGAGTTTTAATCGGTTCTTTGAGTTACACTCTCTTTAAACCGGCAATTGGGTAATGCAATGAAGTCGCTCTGCCTACCACATGAGTCCTGTGGATGGAGACGAAAAACTTCTTATTTAAATTCGTAACACACCTTCTCCATTGCAAAATATTACAACTAAATTTATCCATTTGACGATGATTCTTAACAATGACAGGGCTTTTAAGGTTTGCAATGAACGGTCTTTTCTCTTGTGCATGTATTTTCATGTGCCTCGCCGCTACCACAGTGGTTTGCGATGAATAAATATTACGCGCTTCCATGCATTTCCTTCCTAGAAAAACCGTTGGGGTCACATTCTAGACGTTACCGACTAGGATTTCTTTAATCAATAACTATGGATTCCAAGTTAACCGATCATGGAGCGATCTTTTGCAATGGAACACTGAATTTTTAACAATCATATCATTTTTTCCCAGCTTTAACCAAAGCCTCGTCCAGCATAAGGATTTCGATATCACTTGCGTGCGTCAACGAGGTCATTTTCATTGCAAGTTTTTTTTTTATTTGAGGTTCTCGTGGCCATCCATCCTACTCGAGATTCAAAAAGAGGAACACTGGAAAAGGAGCGAAAGACCAGAGGCAAAATAGAGGAGGAAAGAGGTAACGAAGACGCTTTGGCTCAATATTTTGATGTTGACACCAAACTGTGGAAGCCTTTGGCATCGGTTGATCGGCTGGGTGAAATAACTGATGAATGTCATTCTGCAGAATTGATTGGAAATTACCTGTATGTAGTCACAGAGGCGCAACAGCGACAGGGGTGCCATGAATATGTTGTATACCGTTATCACATATTAAATAACACGTGGGAGAAACTTGCAAAGTTGAATATAAGGGAACGCAAAGACGAATCGCGCAGCCCGGCTAAAATCTGCGTATGCTCAGTCAGTGAATATTTGTATGTCATAACTCAATCAAATCCTCCTCAAAGGTACGATTTGAGCAATAACGTTTGGCAAGCTGGGGAAGAGTTGAATTTTCCCCGGCATGAAGGAATTTTCCATTCTGTTGCGGCGACAGTCATGAATTGTAAAATATATATAATTCATGGTTGTAAAGATCGTGAGAATGTCACCAAACCAGCGGTAGTTCATTGTTTTGACCCAGAGAAAAATGAATGGGAACGTAAAGCTTCGACCTGCCATCCTCATTTTGAGTCTAGTATTTTTGTAGTCAATAACAGACTATGTGTGGCAGGGGGTTTCAATTCAAGCAGTGGTTCTTTATCTTCACTTTTGGGATTGGGGGGCAGTCCACCTGTGGAATTATATGACAAACGTAAGGACACCTGGTCTGTTGTGGAGCAGAAACTTATCCCGCACAACAACTTAGGTGCGTTTAAAATTGAAAGGAGGGTGTATTTCTTGATTAACAACTTTCCTATTGATAGTGGTATTAGAATTCCTCCTGAGGAAAATTATCCTGTCCACCTAGGTGAATGGGAAAACTTAGCAAAAGTGAGTAAAAACGCAGTCTTGTGTTATTTGCCTGTCAAGAAAGAAAACTTAAGATAAAGAAAGTAGTGACAAATTTAAGGTAAAAATTTCACGCATGTAAAAATCAGTTAATGTACGGAATGGTAAAGAAAGAGATCTAGATACTTGTTTCAATGTAGTTTACTGAAAAGCCATGTTATGATACTCAACACACATTATTAAAATTCACCGTTGTTTCAAAGGAGCGTTAATAGGTCTACAATAAAAACAGTTTATTGTGTAGTTTGTGTACCATATTAGCTGAGTATGGCACATGAAAACATAATTTGGTTTTCAATACGATACATAAATTTAGTAGAAACTTTTGGACAGCATTGAGAGAAGTGAGGAGTCATGAAATAAAGCTGTAGGTTTTAAGTATGGCTCATCTTAGTGCTGTAGAAAAAAGTATATCGACTTTCTTAGATAATTTTCTTAAACGCGTACGAAGTATACAAATCCGAAAACTGGCAAAGGCGAAGAGATCATAATTTAAAGTGATCTCCGTTTAACAAAGGCTTATGGGTATGATACTTTAACGCTCTGATCGGTTTCAATGTAACTTGTAATATAAACTAATTGCCTAATAAAGTTGTTGAGTTTATCGATAAAAGGTTATTTTTCACTCAGTAGGTGTTAACAATGAATGATGACTAATACAAAAAATGATGCTATTCTTGATTAATTAAAACTTTTATTTCTGTCTGAAATTCAGCAAATTACGGAGTTGCATATTTGCGTCTACCAATGAAAGCTTTGACGAAGTTCGCTTTTATCACAGAAATTAAATAAATTTAAGATGAAATATATTAATAAGTGTTTGACTCAATTGTCTGTACAAACTTAAAAACCGTGAAATTAACTTCATCACATTTTGGAACAATAGAATGGTTGTCGCACACGGTATACTCAATTGTCTGTATAAACCTGTTTGATTAATGCATGGATATCATAGGAAGGTACAACTTTAACTCTTCCAAGAGCTAAAGGGTTACACATAAACTGAGATTGATGATAACTACATTTTATATCTAATGGCTTTAAACCGTTTTTGTTTCAGACATCAGTTACGACACAACCGCCTCTGATGTTCCATTCTGTGCACCGTTTGTAACAGATTTTAAGCCATGATTTTCAATCCGCTCCCGGCTGTGCCTTCTTTCCTTCGCTTCAGCCAATTTGCGTTCGTTGTCAGCCTTTTTCAAAGCTTCTACATGCTCTTGCAGAAAGTGAGTCACCTTTTCGTGTTCTAAAGACCTGGCAAAATCCAGCGCCGTTTTGCCGTGCTCTGATTTCAGCTTGACAGGGACACCCTTTTTAACGAGAAGCTTAACAAGCGCTTCAAAGCCATTAAGTGCAGCGTTCATCAGAGTCGTTTTCCCTTCTTTGTCCATGGTGTGCACATTAGCTCCATGATGTATTAGTACCCTGTCAACGTTCACATTACCGCTCACAGCGGCTACTCTCATCAGAGGAGTCCAGCCTACAAGAAATTATCGCAAAGCAGACAGACATAAATATCTGATATAAATATCTCATAAACAAAAAACATTTTTGAGCAGAGAAAAATCTGCAATGCGCCAGTGGATGTTCGTTCTACCTATGAATCAGAATTGCTCGTCGAAATTTGGTAATCTACGATGATAGAATTGAAACTTCACCACCGAACACACGTACTTTGTGCCACAAGTTCCTAAATCAAATTCTTTGCAAAGTCATTGGGGGTATATTCGTAGGCAAGCTCAAAATTAGTCATCGTTATTATTGTTCACACAAGATGCTGGCGACATTGATAATACTTGTTGCATACAGAACTCTTGTCAAACATGAACTTCGTAAATAGCATTGCACATCAAGATTTCTCTGTGACTTATGACCAGTTGGCACAGCATCCTACCACCAAAATAGAAACAGCTGATGTTCGATCCTCGGATCCTAGTGAAGACCCAGATTGTTTCTTTGTCCAACACTCACGACAAATTTTTATACATACTTTTTTGTAATAAACGCATTCGACGATGAAATAATTTTTCTTTTTATAATTCATCAGGGGAGTATACCAAAGCAGTGATTTTGGATATCTTTGCCAAATTTTAGCTGCGTATCAAATGTTCTTCAAGATCTGCCTCTTTATCTTAGGGAGTGGTTTGAGCACTAGAGACGTGTCGTTCTTCCTCCTACACCGTTTCCCCCTCTAGCCGCTTCCTGCGTGTCTTACAACGATTCCAGAATCACCTGAGGTTTCGTCTTTGACGTCCACTCGGCAGCCATCTTGAAGCATCCAGCGGATGGTATCCAAATTTGCTCCGTCGACCGCCCAGTGAAGGGCTGTTGAGCCTGTCCTATCCAGTAAATCCCAGTCAGCCTTATGTTTTTTTAACAGCTGCGCAACCTCCACATTTCCTGCAAGAGTTTATAAGAAACGTCGTAGACAGATGTGTTTTAGAGAACGTAAGAATGTCCAAATTAGAACTACCCAGGCCAATGAAAGTCAACTTCGGATAATTTCACTATTCTCCATACTGTACTCTATACATTTCCTAAGGTGCTGACATGGAGAATTTGTTTAACAATCAAGAGCTTCTTTAGTCGTTGATCATTTCCTTTGTTCTTGTGACCTAAATATTTGATTCAGGGGTGATATTGTAAGGAGAAATTAGATGCCAGTCACTCTTAGGGTTCAAAGGTTTAAACCATAGCGGACTCGCACATCACGTGAACTCGAACCACAATCGATATCTTCTGCGTTTTCATTACACAATTGTTCTAATTTTACTCTCGAACGTATAACTCGAACCCTTCAGAACCCAAACTTTGTCTTTTCCCTTCCGGATAATTTCTGTAAAGTCTTACCCTGACAACTCGATCAATATTTGCCAATATGCGACTGGTCAAAACAAACTGTACTGTAGTCCAAAACTTTCAAGTTATTTAAAAGCAGCTTTATAAGCTTAAATGTATAGATTTTGGCCATTATGATTTTAATTCGGATACTTTTATCACGGGAGTCACGAGATCATATCAACGCATTTTCCTCCTGAATAGGTGAGGTTAGGATTTGGAGACGCGGGCGGCACACTACTCCCCGAATTAACAGAAGAACCTCATTTCGTGTGAAAGCCTTGAGAGCAACAATTCAACTAAAAACCGCTCGAACATAGCGATCATCAGAGCCAAGAGATATAATTACAGATCACACAAGATGGGGAGATGACAAATTTTTTGACAAAGTATGTCAGCGGAAACATTTTCCGTCAAGTTTAAAATTGTCATTTACAAAGATTGGACCTTTGGCGAAAGCTAAATGCGTCTTACTAACCAAGTGAGACGCCCGTACTGTAAGTCACGGACCGAGCTTTTTACCGCTCAGGATTATGCCCCAAGCGCAAGGCCCTCGGGTAATAAATTCGCGGGGAAAAATCTAGGTTTCATAATTTACAGTACGGACCGATAAAATGAAGCTAATAAGATATTATTACATCTTTAGAATCCGATAGAGGGGCAAGATCTCAATTCAAACAGAATTTTGAATTTCAGCGGACCATACAGTGCAGTAAGGCCAGCTAAGTTGACTAATCATAGAGCACGTATCAACTTACTAAAGATATATAATATCACAAGTTATAAACCTGAGAAGCAAGCCATCATCAAGGCTGTTTTTCCACTGCTGCTTTGAAAGTTCACATCTGCGCCAGTTTCCAGCAAAACTCGTGCCACGTCTGCATAACCTTTTTGGGCTAAAATACCATTGGAAAAAACAATTTAATTTCGATATGTTACCACCGCCCGGGTGGGAAACTAACAACCCTGCAAAGCTCGCAGATCTGGTGAGAAAACCTGAAAAAAGAGGACGAAGCTAAAGCTGATTGAGAAAAAGTAATAGTTCATAGTTAGCTGGTATAACAATTTGTGACAGATGAAGCCAACAGGAATTTTGAAAAGAAGTATTCATAGGCAGTAGAATATGTCATAGTGAAGAATAAATTCCTGATTTATTTTCCATCAAATAGAACTGGTTATAGATGGTACCAAATTAAGTAAGTTAAATTTAAATTTTTCTAATTTATGATTGTGAAAATGTGACGGAAACACCGAACAGTTTGTCATCAAAACCACGTCATAGTTTTAGTTTCAGTAATTGTGTCAGTAATTAGCAGTGGATTGTGTTACCTGCAATCATGGGTGGTGATAAACCAAACTTGTCGGGGGAATCAACTGCTTGCCAGCTAAGTCCTAAAATACAGAATTGCGAGTCTGTAGGTAAGAAATTTAATGCCAAATGTTGGCTAAAAGCTATAAGAGCCCCCCTTTACTGACTGGTGGTAAACTGTCAGCTAACAACTTAGTAACATTTGACCAACACATCAACGATCAGTAAGAACCTGTAAGCTGTCAGACACTTCCGATGACAGTCGGTTAACTTACAGATAGAAGTTGGCTGACAGACGACAAACAAACCATCGACCAAAAATCAGAGATAGATGACAGAAGTTGAACCAGCTTTGTTACGTTTACCGAATATTCCATTCTTTTCGAGTCTGCTGTCAGTCAGTAGAGAATACTACTGTTGAAGACATTGACGAATTTTTCACAACTTTTCTTGTGCATAATAGTCATCATAAGACCTGTAAAGCCCCGCACGCGTAATATCCTTCCCCCCCCCCAAAAAAAAAAAAAACCACAGTGAACGCTGACGTGTGTAGGGCCGGGTTGACGTGAGCCGGTCCTAAAAAAGCCGTCCGGCCCTGCATTCAAGCAGCTTTGCTGCAAAAACTTAAAGAAAAAGAAGAAAAGAGTGAAAAAAGTCGCGGTTTTTCGATGAGTTGTGGTTTTACTGTTCTGACTCGAAAAAGCAAAGGAAAACTTTTTATTGTAGAATCTTTTTTATTGTCCCGCGAGCGCCCGTCTATCGCGTCATATTTAGTTTGTGACCGAGCGCAGCGAGGTCTATACGCCATGACATTAAGCCAAACATTTTCCGGACCGGCCCGACCAAACTTAGTCAATAAGTGCAAAAGTCAGAAGGATTTGGGGAGCCATTTGTGCCAAAATATCAATCGCTAGTGATAAAACTCAACTGTTAGTGCCAAAATATCAATCGCTAGGGAGAAAACTTAATTTTTAGTGTTTTCCTGTGCCTTTAGATGAATGGGAGAACTCTTAGAAAGGTTAACATTGACGCAGTTTTGTGCTACCTACCTGTGAGGAACGAGAGTTTAACAGGAGACGCTGAATCAAATTTACTGACGTTAATTATGTCAGTTGGAAAATAAGTACTACTTTAAGTGAGTTTAATATTAAACTTCCGCGCCGAATTGTTCAAAGTTGGCCTAACCGGTCAGTGAGAAATCTGATTTCAGTTTATGTCATTGAAACCCTCAAAAAAAAATAGAGACATCTGTGGTAATCATCTTTCTTTTGTGGAACAGGGTACTCATTAGTGTTTTTAGAAGCGTCAGGTTTTCTGTTTTGCTTGTGAGGCAAATATTCTGCATCACGACCTTCTAGGGTCATTATACATTTTCAAGTTCTTTTAAATGCAATAAAAACTGTGCCATACCAGTAGCCACATGCAGTCTTTGACTGTCTCTTTTTAACTAAAGACATCGTCTCCACTGGAGATATTTGTTTTAGGTGTATTTCTTTTCTCGGAAATTGAAATGGTTATGATTAATTGGTAACAGGACTTCTTGTCGTCCAGTTCTGTCTGTAATCATACTCGTGATTGACAAATCGGACTCCGGTTTCACGGTCGTCCGATTTTGTTAATCATCACTTGTATGATTACAGACCGAATTGGACTCCTCTCGGTCCTATTACCATTATAAATTTAAATTTATTTAACACCTCGGCCCTCTTCAGATATACCATTGTTATTTGCCATTGTAATTGCAAGAAGATTATCGTCGGGCTTAAGCTCAAACAGAGACCCTGCTATCGGTATCTTTGCAAGTTAATCTATGCGTCACTGGGCGTATGCCACCAGTAACTAAGCAACCAATACAAGAGGAAATTAGTATAGTTTTCAGTGGGAGGTCACGCGATCCACGAACAAAGACATTCTTGTTTCCTTCGAAGTTTCTACAAGCCGTAGATCTCCGCTAATTGAAACAGCATAAAGATGGTGGCCCATTCTAGAATTCTTCTCTCTAAGTGTTCCGAGTTTCGTAGAGAAGGTGAATTTATCGACATACGTTTAAAAGTGGGTGATACACTTTTCCCAGCTCACCAAGTTGTTCTTGCGTCGTATAGCGATTATTTCCGCGCCATATTTACTGATGGGAAAGAAGCGAACCAGGAACTGATTGAACTGACCGAAGAAAGGATTTCACCGGAGATATTCAAGATCATTATGGACTTCATCTACAGTGGTGACCTTCATGTCAACCAGAAGAGCGTATTTGAGGTTCTTCTCACAGCTAGTCGGCTTCAAATCGCGAGTGTTGTTCAACTGTGTTGTGATTTCGTAAAGAAGGAATTCATAGAAAATGGAATTGACCTGAAGAACTACTCCATGCTGTGTGCAGCCGCCGAAAGACTTGGTCTGACAGATCTGCAAGAGGCCGCGGAGGCCAAGATGGCATCCATTTACAAAGATGTTTGCGAAAGTAAAGAATTCCTTACTCATATCAGTGCAGATCAATTGCTCAACCTTCTTGGTCGAGATGATCTCAATTCACCCTCTGAAGCTTTCGTCTTTAAATCAGTGATGAAGTGGATCAGATACAAAGGGGAAGAGAGGATGCCAGTTGCTGGGAAAGTTATCGGAGCTGTTCGTCTGGGGCTAGTAGACGTGAAGATTGTGATTAAAGAGTTGAAAACAGAAGATATGCAGCGAATTCCCGAGGTGAACATACATCTGCAAGAATCCATGATGCATCACTTTGTGCCTTCACATGAATTTGCTGAAGAGAAAATGAAACCAAGATCAATGCGTCAGGTAATAATTTAATTAAAGTCATCTTGCATTTGTCTGTTTATACAAAAATTGCATTCATTGTTCATGGCGTACCTTCTTCACTCGACAAAGGAGAGCCCGGTTTCATAGACTCTCTTGACCTTCTGACTTAGTTTATTGTTGCCCAATGTTGGTGGAGAAAATCTTCTCGGCCGTGAGCATTAATGTAATGCGTGAAAGATCTTCCCTTTTTAAGAGAAGTTGTTAGTTTACCTTATTCAGAGTTTTAATCGGGTTTTTTGTGTTACACTCTCTTTAAACCGGCGATCGGGTAATGCAATCAAGTCGCTCTGCCTACCACGTGAGTTCTGTGGATGGAGACGAAAAATTTCTTATTTAAATTCGTAGGACACTTTCTCCATTGCAAAATATTACAACTAACTTTATCCATTTGACGATGATTCTTAACAATGTCAGGGCTTTTAAGGTTTGCAATGAACGGTCTTTCCTCTTGTGCATGTATTTCATGTGCCTCGCCGCTACCACAGTGGTTTGCGATGAATAAGTATACGGGCTTCCGTTTTCTTGAGAGTGTAAAGTGTTTTTTCCTAAAAAACCGTTGGAGTCAAACTCTAGACGGTACAGACTAGGATTTCTTTGTTTTATTTATTGATTCCAAGTTAACTGATCATGGAGCGATCTTTTACAATGGACCACTGAAAGTTTAACAATCATATCATTTTGTTCCCAGCTTTAGCCAAAGCCTCGTCCAGCATAATGATTTCGGATCACTTGCGTGCGTCAACGAGGTCATTTTCATTCTAAGTGTTTTTTTTTCAGGTTCTCGTGGCAATCCATCCTACTCGAGATTTAAGGAGCGAAACATTTGCAAATGAGCGAAAGACCGGAGGCAAAATAGAGGAGAAAGCGGTAAGCACTAAGTGCTGGACTTTCCCCTGTCATCAGTCCGAAGACGCTTTTGCTCAATATTTTGATGTTGACACCAAATTGTGGAAGCCTTTGGCATCGGTTGCTCAGCTGGGTGAAATAACTGATGTATGTTATTCTGCAGAATTGGTTGGAAATTACCTGTATGTAGTCACAGAGGTGCAACAGCAACAGGGGTGCTTTGAATATGTTGTATACCGTTATCACATATTAAATAACACGTGGGAGAAACTTCCAAAGTTGTATATAGGGGTAGACAGAGACAAATCGCGCCGCCCGCCTAAAATCTTCTTATGCTCAGTCAGTGAAAATTTGTATGTCATTGCTCCATCGAATCCTCCCCAAAGGTACGATTTGATCAATAACGTTTGGCAAGCTGGGGAAAAGTTGAATTTTCCCCAACATGAAGGAATTCTCCAATTTCTTGCGGCGACAGTGATGAATCGTAAAATATATGTAATTCATGATTGTCAAGATCGTAAGAATGTCAACAAACCAGCGGTATTTCATTGTTTTGACCCAGAAAAAAATGAATGGGAACGTAAAGCTTCGACCTGCCATCGTCATTTTCAGTCTAGTATTTTCGTAGTCAATAACAGACTATGTGTGGCAGGGATTTCCAATTCAATAAGAAATTTAATGCGGAACCATCCACCTGTGGAATTGTATGACGAACGTAAAGACACCTGGTCTGTTGTGGAGCAGAAACGTATCCCGCCCAACTTATTAGGTGCCTTTGAAATTGAAAGGAGGGTGTATTTCTTAATAAACAATTTTCCTATTGACAGTGGTATTAGAATTCCTCCGGAGGAAAATTTTCCTGTCCACTTAAGGGATGAATGGGGAAACTTAGCAAAAGTAAGTGAAAACGCAGTCTTGTGTTATTTGCCTGTCAAGAAAGAAAACATAAGATAAAGGAAGCAGTGATAAATTTAAGGTAAAAATTTCACGCATATAAAAATCAGTTAATGCATGGAATTGTAAAGAAAGAGGTCTAGATACTTGTTTCAATGTAGTTTACTGAAAAGCTATATTATGGTACTCAACACTCACCATTAAAATTCACTGTTGTTTCAAAGGAGTGTTAATAAGTGTACGATAAAATAGTTTATTGTGTAGTTTGTGTTCCATATTAGCTAAAAGTACGGCACATGACAACATAATTTGGTTTTCAATACGATACATAAATTGAGTAAAACTTTTTGGACAGCATCGAGAGAAGTGAGGAGGAGTCATGGAATAAAGCTGTAGGTTATGAGTATGGCTCATCGTAGTGCTGTAGAAAAAAGTATATCGACTTTCTTAGATTATTTTCTTAAACGCGTACTAAGTATGCAAATTGAAAACTGGCGAAGGCCAACAGATCATAACTTAAAGTGATCTCAGTTTTGCAAAGGCTTATGGGTATGATACTTTAACGCTCTGATCGGTTTCATTGTACCTTGTAATATTAACTAATTGCCTAATAAAGTTTTTGAGTTTATCGATAAAGGTTATTTTTCACTAAAGAGGCGTTAACAATGAATGATTAATAATGAAAGAGAAACACATTGAAGAGTGCTCGCGCTCCAGAGAAGTCGATTCACTCAAACGGCGAGTTGATTTGATTGATTTTCCAGGAGTTCTCTAAGCTAAAACTACGCCCTTTTTGTTTGTTCTAAAAAAATCTGAAAAACTGAAAACTCTGTCAGTGTATTACAATCATCTGTTATGTTTGTCCAATCCTACATTTTTAGAACTTCCAAAGCAAAAAACAGATCTTTTTCCTTTCTTGGAAAAAAGAGACATTGCTCGTTCAAAATGTTAATTTCACTTCAGCATTTGAAAATACCTATCTCTCCCTTATAAAATTTAACCCTTCCCCCTCCCCCTTGCAACTTGAAGGTGTTTGCGTGACCGTTGTAGAGATCTGATCACGCAATATGTCGTTTTCAGTATCGGTCGAAACGGCTGCCTTATCTGAGATTCTCCATTGCAAATGCGCTCAATTCAGAGATGAAGGTCAATTCATCGACGTTCGATTAAATGTCGACGAAGACGTCTTTCCAGTCCCTCCTATAGTGCTGGCTGCGAGTAGTGATTATTTCTACGCCATGTTTACAAATGGAATGAAGGAGTCCAACCAGGAAATAATCGAATTGAAAGACGAAAGCATCACGTCAAATGCTTTAGAGATCATCTTAGAATTTTGTACTCGAAAATATTGTTATTATTGCACGAATAAATGAGTTAAAATCACATTTTTGAGCGATGTTAACACACTGTTTTAGTGTACAGTCGAAGCTGTACTAAGGAACACCGTGTTAAGTGGTCACCCTGTATTACATGGTCGGTTTATGTAAACATGAACTGTTTGGAAGTATCAGTCAGCAGAGATGCAGTGCTGAAATTGTTGGTCTGTTTTTTAAACGAGGCATTCTCCAATTTTTTTGGTCAAATTTCTTAACCGGATGCCAACAGGAGGATTCCACAGGTAGAAAGAGACTCAAACTAAGAAGGAAGCCCATAACAAGGTCCGCCCTTCCCCCCCCGTACAACTCCATCACACCTCTCCCTCTAATTTTCCTCCGCTGATTTCTAATTAGTGCTCACAAGTACCTGGAATGTGGGCTCGTGGCTGGATTGTAGGGATTTGCCAGCCAAGATGAGAAATACAAAAAATGATACTATTCTTGATTATTTCTGTCTGAAATTCAGCAAATTACGGAGTAGCATATTTGCTTCTACCAATGAAAGCTTTGACGAAGTTCGCTTTTATCACAGAAATTAAATAAATTTAAGATGAAATATATTAATAATTATTTGACTCAATTGTCTGTACAAACTTAAAAACCGTGAAATTAACTTCATCACATTTTGGAACAATAGAATGGTTGTCGTACACGGTATACTCAATTGTCTGTATAAACTTTGAAACCGTGAAAGTAAACTTCAAATAACCTTTTAGAACAATAAAAGATGTTTGCAAACGGTAACGGCGATTTTAATCAAGGCAGGTATTGAAAATCTCATTGACATTTTAAAATTGACCCACACAGAACCGTCAACCCTTTAATTCTCGATTCTCCCCTCTAGCTGCTGCACATTTCCTTGTAAATTATTGAAAATGATTTGGTGGTAGATAAAGGCAACAACTTATATCTGATAATTTCGAGAATTTTCAAAACCTGTTTGATTAATGCATGGATATCATAGGAAGGTACAAGTTTAACTCTTCCAAGAGCTAAAGGGTTACACATGAACTGAGATTGATGATAACTAAATTTAATATCTCATGGCTTTAAACCGTTTTTGTTTTTAAACATCAGTTACGACACAACCGCCTCTGATGTTCCATTCTGTGCACCGTTTGTAACAGATTTTAGGCCATGACTTTCAATCCGCTCCCGGCTGTGCCTTCTTTCCTTCGCTTCAGCCAATTTGCGTTCGTTGTCAGCCTTTTTCAAAGCCTCTACATGCTCTTGCAGAAAGTGAGTCACCCTTTCGTGTTCAAAAGACCTGGCAAAATCCAGCGCCGTTTTGCCGTGCTCTGATTTCAGCTTTACAGGGACACCCTTTTTAACAAGAAGCTTAACAAGCGCTTCAAAGCCATTAAGTGCAGCGTTCATCAGAGTCGTTTTCCCTTCTTTGTCCATTGTGTGCACATTGGCCCCATGATGTATCAGTACCTTGGCAACGTTCACATTACCGCTCACAGCTGCTACTCTCATCAGAGGAGTCCAGCCTACGAAAAATTATTGCAAAGCATTAGAGACAGACATAAATATCTGATATAAATATCTCACAAACAAACATTCTCGAGCAGAGAAAAATCTGCAATTTGCCAGTGGATGTTCGTTCTACCTACGAATGAGAGTTGTTCGTCGAAATTTGGCAATCCACGGTTATATAATTGAAACCTCACCGCACACACGTACTTTGTACCACAAGTTCCTAAATCAACTTCTTTGCATTATCTTTAGGGGTGTATTCGTAGGCAAGCTCAGAATTAACCATCATTCTTATTGTTCTCACAAGATGCTGGCGACATTGATAATCCTTGTTGCATACAGAACTCTTGTCAAACATGAACTTCGTAAATAGCATTGCACATTAAGATTTCTCTGTGACTTATGATCAGTTGGCACAGCATCCTACCAAGAAAATAGAAATAGCTGATGCTCGATCCTCGTAAGGACCCAGATTCTTTCTTTGTCCAACACTCACGACAAATTTTTATACCTACATTTTTGTAATAAACGCATTCGACGATGAAATAATTTTTTTTTTATAATTCATCAGGGGAGTATACCAAAGCAGTGATTTAGAATAGCTTTCCAAATTTTAGCTGCGTATGAAATGTTCTCCAAGATCTGCCTCGTTATCTTAGGGAGTGGCTTGAGCACTAGAGACGTCACAACACTCGATCTCGACTAAGCCTCGTTCTTCCTCCTACACCGTTTCTCCCTCAAGCCGCTTCCTGCGTGCTTTACAACAGTTCCAGAATCACCTGACGTTTCGTCTTTGACGTCCACTCGGCAGCCATCTTGAAGCATCCAGCGGATCATATCCAAATTGGCTCCGTCGACCGCCCAGTGAAGAGCCGTTGAACCTGTCCTGTCCACTAAATCCCAGTCAGCCTTATGTTGTTTTAACAGCTGCGCAACCTCCACATTTCCTGCAAGATTTTATAAGAAACGTCGTGAACAGATGTGTTTTAGAGAACGTAAGAATGTCCAAATTAGAACTACCCAGGCCAATGAAAGTCAACACCAGACAATTTCACTATTCTCCATACTGTACTCTATACATTTCCTAAGGTGCTGACATGGAGAATTTGTTTAACAATCAAGAGCTTCTTTAGGCCAAGAGATACAATTACAGATCACAGAAGATGGAGAGATGACAAATTTTTTGACAAAGTATGTCAGCGGAAACATTTTCCGTCAAGTTTAAAATTGCCATTTACAAAGATTGGACCTTTGGCGAAAGCTAAATGCGTCTTACTAACCAAGTGCGACGCCCGTACTGTAAGTCACGGACCGAGCTTTCTACCGCTCGGGATTATGCCCCAAGCGCGAGATATAATATCACAAGTTATAAACCTGAGAAGCAAGCCATCATCAAGGCTGTTTTTCCACTGCTGCTTTGAAAGTTCACATCTGCGCCAGTTTCCAGCAAAACTCGTGCCACGTCTACATAACCCTTTTGGGCTAAAATACCATTGGAAAAAAAACAATTTAATTTCGATATGTTACCACTGTCCAGGTGGGAAACTAACAACCCTGCAAAGCTTGCAGATCTGGTGAGAAAAACCTAAAAAAGAGGACGAAGCTAAAGCTGATTGAGAAGAAATAATTGTTCATAGTTAGCTGGTATAACAATTTGTAACTGATGCAACGAACAGGAATTTTGAAAAGAAGTATTCATAGTCATGAAGTCATTCATAGTTGAAGTTATATAGTTCATTTAACTTAAAATTTTTCCAATTTATGATTGTGAAATGTGACGGAAACATCGAACAATTTATCGTCAAAACCACGTCATAGTTTTAGTTTCAGTAATTGTGTCAGTAATTAGCAGTGGATTGTGTTACCTGCAATCATGAGTGGTGATAAACCAAACTTGTCGGGGGAATCAACTGCTTGCCAGCTAAGTCCTAAAATACAGAATTGCGAGTCTGTAAGTAAGAAATTTAATGCCAAATTTTGGCTAAAAGCAATAAGAGCCCCCCTTTACTGACTGGTGGTAAACTGTCAGCTAACAACTTAGTAACATTTGACCAACATATCAACGATCAGTAAGAACCTGTAAGCTGTCAGACACGTCCGATAACAGTCAGTTAACTTACAGATAGAAGTTGGCTGACAGACGCCAAACAAACCATCGACCAAAAATCAGAGATAGATGACAGAAGTTAAGCCAGCTTTGCTACATTTACTGAATATTCCACTCTTTTAGAGTCTGCTGTCAGTCAGTATAGAATACTACTGTTGAAGACATTCACGAACTCTTCACTCCTTCGCTTGTGCATAATCATCATAAGGCCCGTAAAACCCCGCACGCGTAATCCCCAAAAAAAGCAACAGTGAAAGCTGAGGTGTGTAGGGCCGGACGGGTTGACGTGAGCCGGTCCGGAAAAGCCATCCGGCCCTGCCCTCACACAGCTCTGCTGCAAAAACTTAAAGAAAAGGAAGGAAAGAGTGCAAAAAGTCGCGGTTTTTCGATGAGTTGTGGTTGAGTTGTTCTAACTCGAAAAAACAGAGGAAAACTTTCTATTGTAGAATCTTTTTTATTGCCCGCGAGCGCCCGTCTATAGCGTCATATTAAGTCTGAAACAAAATTTTCGAAATTTTCAATAGTTATTGGCCATATGATGAAATACTCATCGGCTATGTCTGGTCAGGCCGAACGGGAAAACATTTGGCTCTCCGTCATGGCGCACGGACCTCGCTGCGCTTGGTCTGTACGTCATGAAATTGAGCCAACCTTTTTCCCGTCCGGCCCGACCAAACTAAGTCGATAAGTACATATTTCGAAAAAATTTCAACAGCGGTTTCAATAACTTTTTCTTCTTGGCGGCTGCTGATAGTATAATGGGCCGCTGTGCCCGGGAAAGGGACTGTAAGGTGGAAACAAAACATTAGAACCTGCTCACAGGCTAAACAGATGGCGGTAAGAGAGCATACAGGTGGCAGTAGTGTGTAGGTAACTGGCTGTTATTGAAGACCCTGTTACAAAGAGCCAGAATAATTACTGGTCGCCTACACCTTAACAAAATTAGAGATTTCAATAAGCGCAGTTCAGATTGATAACATATCCAAAGAACATACACAAAAAGGTCTTAATTAACAGTATCCCTGAAACTTAAAAAAAGGAAACTTTTTAAGGAATATTTTGGACAATTGCAGAGTCACTGGATTTAGTTTACAGTCAAGGAATCATTGTTGGTTGGTGCTGAACCCATGATTAATTCAGAAAAATGAAACAGCTCTCCCACAGGTGTTCATTTCCATTCCCGGCATTGATTCCATACCACGTAAATTACAATATTATGTCACTTTTTAATTTTTTTACGGTGCATTACAGAAACCTTTTCCTAAATATAGAGTAAAGAAGCCAAGTATTGAGTCCTTCAAGAAAGAGCGAACCCTTTTTATTCCATTTCATCTTTTTATTTCATTTCATTCAGTACCTTTTTTTCTAATATATATTTTTTTGTTCTAACGATCCTCCATAAGTGTTTCCCTGTAGAGAGAGGTGGAGTAATAACGGAAAAGAACATGAGCATCGTAAACTTACCGGGCAGAATATTTCTGACAGTCTCCACATCTCCCTTAGTGACAGCCCTCTGGAGATCTTCACTGGTTTGAGGTTTCTTTGTGGTTGACACAGTCACAACAGCACTCCAGGCACTTGAACCAAAATCATTCATACACTTCAGTCTGTATCGGTACTATGTGCGAGCCTCCAGACCTTCAAAAACATTCCTGTTGAAAAGAAAGGAGAAACTTACTGAAAAATAAAATAGCTCTTAAATAGCAAAGCCTTTTTCACACCTAGCTTCACCTTGAAAGTCCATTACTGACAATTTTCTGCACCATTTGATCTTTGAGAGTGACCAGCATCTAATTTCTTCATACAACATTAGCCCTTCATCAAACATTAAGGTCATGAGAATAAAGGAAATGATCCCCAACCAAAGAAACTCTTGATTGTTAAACAAATTCTCCCTAAGAGATTTGTTGGCAAATGTATAGATACCAGTTTGGGGAAACTGTATACTGATGTTAGGGTGTAAAGGGCAAAAAATAAAGATAATAAAGGAAAAATGAGATAAGGGGGGTGTAGAAAATATCTCTCAGCCCACCATTAACTGTTCTCAACACTTCAATCCTCGAAACTAAACTCTACACTCAGATGGTCGCTCTAGCATTCGACGACTGAAACACACATCTCGAAAAACCTCGTGGTCGTTTCATACTATATGTAAGAAATACTTTTCAGCCCTTATTTTACAATGATAAAACCACCTATTAAACTTTTAGTACTGGGGCACTGGCAACTCAAGTTGTAATTGTATTGAATAGTAAATTTCTTTTGAGATGCTTGATAGGACCAGGACATAAATCATCAAAATAGTATCTTCATAATGTCACTAATATGATCTGTGAGAAAGTTTGAACAATTGTTTATTCTTTTCAGACCTCTAATAGGGGGAGGGTCATTTTCTCAGCCACTAAAAAGAGCTCTGAAAATATAAAACACTCATTTTGATAGGAGCATGGTCTCACTTTAGCCAATAAGGGTGTTTATTTTGGACTACTATGTAAAAGCAATGGGGAGATTTTTGCATGGGTGTGACTCAAAGAAAATTACCAGGTGATTTAGAAGAAAATTATACAAAGTTGCGTCACTGCATAACAGACTTAAATTTGAATGAGATGGGTTGATACAACTGACCCCCTCCTGATGGACTTAAAAAAAACACTTGCTCAAAGTGTCTGATAACTCGAAATAAAATATTTTTCTCTTCGATTAAAAGACTGAGAACATATTGCAAACCGAGTATTGTATTAAATGGTAATTAAGTTGAAGTGTGTCACAAAAGTATAAGAAGCCATTTGTGCCAAAAGTATCAATCGCTGGTGATAAAACTCAATCGTTAGTGCTAAAATATCAATTGCTTATGATAAAACTCAGCTGTTAGTGCTATAATATCAACCGCTAGTGATAAAATTGTTAGTGTTGTCCTGTGCCTTTAGATGAATGAGAGAATCTTAGAAAGGTTAAAAATGACGCAGTTTTGTGCTACCTATATGTAAGGAACGAGAGTTTAGCAGCAGAGTAATGCTGAATCAAATTTACTGACATAAATTCTGTCTGCTGGAAATTAGGTACAACTTTAAGTTAATCTAACATTAAACTTCCGCACCGAATTGTTCAAAGTTGGCTTAAGATAGAACCCGAGCCGGTTAGTGAGAAATCTGATTTCAGTTCTAAAAGCTGTGAAATAATTAAAAAATTAGTAGAATTATTATTTGTTTTCAACTTGATGATTGGACGCTCTCAAAAAGGCTTTTGAACCGGCCCTGGGTTGTAGTCCTCGAAAACTGAATGAGTAATGGTTTTTAGGAATGTGCGTAGAATTCGTGTTTTTTCGAAAGACGAAAGTTAAGAATCGGGCTTTCTTATTTTCACACGGATAGTTCTGGGGTTTAATGTACGTGGCGACGACCTCAGCAACATATATTTTATTAAAGTACTTTCTTGGTATTGATAAATCATTGAAATAGCATGGAATATTGCCGTTTGCTTTGTCTAGATTTCTTGAAAGATAAAGACGATTTGCTGAATCAAAAACGTGCTAGTTTATTCTCCTCGTATTTGGTCAAAACAATTCCGTTGCCTTCCCAAGGGGTGGGCGTTGAGACAAAAGTTTATGCCATTAAAACCCTCGGAAAAAATAAAGACAGCTGTGATAATCATCTTTCTTTTGTGGAACAGGGTACTCATTAATATTTTAGGAAGCGTCAGGTTTTCTGTTTTGCTTGTGAGACAAATATTCTGCAAGACGACCTTCTTATTTCCTTCGAAGTTTCTACAAGCATAGATCCCCGCTGATTGAAATAGCATAAAGATGGCGGCCAATTCTAGAACTCTTCTCTCTAAGTGTTCCGAGTTCCGTAGAGAAGGTGAATTTATCGACATAAGTTTAAAAGTGGGTGATACACTTTTCCCAGCTCACCGAGTTGTTCTTGCGTCGTATAGCGATTATTTCCACGCTATATTTACTGATGGGAAAGAAGCGAACCAGGAACTGATCGAACTGAAAGATAAAAGCATTTCACCGGAGATATTCAAGATCGTTATGGACTCCATCTACAGTGGTGACCTTCATGTCAACCAGAGGAACGTATCTGAGGTTCTTCTCACAGCTAGTCAGCTTCAAATCGCGAGTGTTGTTCATCTGTGTTGGGATTTCCTAAAGAAGGAATTCAAAGAAAATGGAATTGACCTCAAGAACTACTCCGTGCTGTGTGCTGTCGCCGAAAGACTCGGTCTCAGAGATCTGCAAGAGGCCGCAGAGGCCAAGATGGCATCCATTTACAAAGATGTTTGCGAAAGTAAAGAATTCCTTACTCATATCAATGCAGATCAACTACACAGCCTTCTTGGTCGAGATGACCTCAATTCACCCTCTGAAGCCTTCGTCTTCAAATCGGTGATCAAGTGGATCAAATACAAAGGGGAAGAGAGGATGCCAGTTGCTGGAAAAGTTATCGGAGCTGTTCGTCTGGGGCTAGTAGACGTGAAGATTGTGATTGAAGAGTTGAATACAGATGAAATGCAGCGAGTTCCCGAGGTGAACATTCATTTGCAAGAATCCATGATGCATCGTTGCATGCCTTCACATGAATTTGCTGCATAGAAAATGAAACCAAGATCAATGTGTCCGGTAAGAATCTAATACATTTGTCTGTTCATGTAAAAATTGCATTTATTGTTCATGGCATACCCTGTTCACTCGACAAAGGAGAGACCGGTTTCATAGACTCTCTTGACATTCTGACTTAGTTTCACTACTGTTGCCAAATATTTCCGATTGTGTCGGTGGAGAAAATATGAAATCTTCTCGACCGTGAGCATGAATGTAATGCATGAAAGATCTTCCCTTTTTAAGAGAAATTGTTAGGTTAATCGGTTTTTTGAGTTACACTCTCTTTAAACCGGCGATCGGGGAATTAAATCAAGTCGCTCTGCCTACCACATGAGTCCTGTGGATGAGACGAAAAATTTCTTATTTAAATTCGTAGCACACTTCCTCCATTGCAAAATATTACAACTAAATTTATCCATTTGATGATGATTCTTAACAATGACAGGGCTTTTAAGGTTTGCAATGAACAGTCTCTCCTCTTGTGCATGTATTTTCATGTGCCTCCCCACTGTGGTTTGCGATGAATAAATATTACGCGCCTCCGTGCATTTCCTTCCTAGAAAAACCGTTGGGGTCAAATTCTAGACGTTACCGACTAGGATTTCTTTAATCAATAACTATGGATTCCAAGTTAACCGATCATAGAGTGATCTTTTGCAATGGAACACTGAAAGTTTAGCAATCATATCATTTTGTTTCCAGCTTTAACCAAAGCCTCATCCAGCATAATGATTTCGGATCACTTGCGTGCGTCAATGAGGTCATTTTCATTCCAAGATTTTTTTTTATTTCAGGTTCTCGTGGCAATCCATCCTACTCGAGATTCAAGAAGAGAAACATTTGTAAAGGAGGGAAAGACCAGAGGCAAAATAGAGGAGAAAGCGGTAAGCACCAAGTGCTCGACTTTCCCTTGTCATCAGTCCGAAGACGCTTTGGCTCAATACTTTGATGTTGACACCAAATTGTGGAAGCCTTTGGCATCGGTTGCTCAGCTGGGTGAAATAACTGATGAATGTCATTCTGCAGAATTAATTGGAAATTACCTGTATGTAGTCACAGAGGCGCAACAGCAACAGGGGTGCTTTGAATATGTTGTATACCGTTATCACATATTAAATAACATGTGGGAGAAACTTCCAAAGTTGAATATGGGGGAACGCGTAGACGAATTGCTTTGCCCGCTTAAAATCTGCGTATGCTCAGTCAGTGAGTATTTGTATGTCATTACTCAATCAAATCCTCCCCAAAGGTACGATTTGAGCAATAACGTTTGGCAAGCTGGGAAAGAGTTGAATTGTCCCCAAGATGATGGAATTTTCTATTCTGTTGCGGCGACAGTAATGAATAGTAAAATATATGTAATTAATGGTTATATAGAACATGGGAACGTCGACAAACCAGCGGTAGTGCATCGTTTTGACCCAGAGAAAAATGAATGGGAACGTAAAGCTTCGACCTGCCATCCTCATTTTGGGTCTAGTATTTTTGTAGTCAATAACAGACTATGTGTGGCGGGGGGTTCCAATTCAAGCATGGGTTTTCCTTTTATGAGCTATCTAGCTGTGGAATTGGGGGGCCGTCCATCTGTGGAATTGTATGACAAACGTGAGGACACCTGGTCTGTTGTGGAGCAGAAACGTATCCCGCACAACAACTTAGGTGCGTTTGAAATTGAAAGGAGGGTGTATTTCTTAATAAACAATTTTCCAATTGACAGTGGTATTAGAATTCCTCCGGAGGAAAATTATCCTGTCCACTTAGGTGAATGGGAAAACTTAGCAAAAGTAAGTGAAAACGCAGTCTTGTGTTATTTGCCTGTCAAGAAAGAAAACTTAAGATAAAGAAAGCAGTGACAACTCTAAGGTAAAAATTTCACGCATATAAAAATCAGTTGATGCATGGAATGGTAAAAAAAGAGGTCTAGAAACTTGTTTCAATGTAGTTTACTAAAAAGCCATGTTATGATACTCAACACACACCATCAAAATTCACTGTTGTTTCAATGGAGTGTTAATAGGTGTACAATAAAATAGTTTATTGTATAGTTTGTGTACCATATTAGCTAAAAGTACGGCACATGAAAACATAATTTGGTTTTCAATACGATACATAAATTGAGTAAACATTTTTGGACAGCATTGAGAGAAGTGAGGAGGAGTCATGAAATAAAGCTGTAGGTTATGAGTATGGCTCATCGTAGTGCTGTAGAAAAAAGTATATCGACTATTTTGGTTAGTTTTCTTAAACGCGTACTAAGCATGCAAATTGAAAACTGGCAAAGGCTATGAGATCGTAACTTAAAGTGATCTCAGTTTTGCAAAGGCTTATGGGTATGATACTTAAACTCTCTGATCGATTTCATTGTACCTTGTAATATTTACTAATTGCCTAATAAAGTTGTTGTTATTGATAAAAGGTTATTTTTCACTCAATAGGTGTTAACAATGAACGATTAACAATGAAAGAGAAACACATAGAAGAGAGTGCTCGCGCTCCAGAGAAGTCAAGTCAATTAAACGGCGAGCTTATTTTGATGATTTTCCAGGAGCTCTCTAAGCCAGAACTACGCCCTTTTTGTTTTTTCTAAAAAAATCTGAAAAACTGAAAACTCTGTCAGTGTATTACAATCATCTGTTATGTTTGCCCAATCCTACATTTTGAGAATTTCCAAAGCAAAAAACAGATCTTTTTCCTTTCTTCGAAAAAAGAAACATTGCTCGTTCAAAATTTTAACTTACCTTCACCATTTGAAAATACCTATCATCTCCCTTGTAAGATTCAACCCTTCCCCCTCCCCCTCGTAACTCGAAGGTGTTTGCGTGACCGTTGTAGGTATTTGATCACGCAATATACCGTTTTCAGCATCGGTCGTCTTACATAATGGTTGCATTATCTAAGATTCTCCATTGCCGCAAATGTGCTCTGTTCAGAGATAAAGGTCAATTCCTCGACGTTCGATTAAAAGTCGACGAAGACTTCTTTTCAGTTCATCGTATAGTGCTGGCTGCTAGTAATGATTATTTCTACGCCATGTTTACAAATAGAATGAAGGAGTCCAACCAGGAAACAATCAAATTGAAAGACGAAAGTATCACGTCAAACGCTTTAAAGATCATCTTAGAATTTGTACTCGAAATAAATGAGTAATAAAGAAATAAATGAAATGGAATAAATGAGTTAAAATCACATTTTTGAGTTATGTTAACACACTGTTTTGGTGTACACTCGAATGTGTACTAAGTGACACCGTGTTAAGTGGTCACCCTGTATTACGCGGTCGGTTTTTTGCAAACATGAAATGTTTGGAAGTATCAGTCTGCAGAGATGTAGTGTTGAAATTGTTGGCCTGTTTTTCCAATCGAGGCATTCTCCATTTTTTTGGTCAAATTTCTTAACCGGATGTCGATAGGAGGATTCCACAGGAAGAAAGGGACTCAAACCGAGAGGGAAGCTAATGACAAGGTCCCCCTTCTCCCCCCACCCCCGCTCCCAATTCCACCACTCCTCTCCGTCTCATTTCCCTTCGCTGATCTTTAATCGGTGTTCACGAGTACCTGGAATGCGGGCTCATGACTGAATCGTGGGGATTTGCCAGCCAAGATGACTAATACAAAAAATGATTCTATTCTTGGTTAATTAAAACCTTTTATATTTGTCTGAAATTCAGCAAATTACGGAGTAGCATATTTGCGTCTACCAATGAAAGCTTTGACGAAGTTCGCTTTCATCACAGGAATTAAATAAATTTAAGATGAAATATATTAATAAATATTTGACTCAATTTTCTGTACAAACTTTAAAACTGTGAAATTAACTTCATCACATTTTTGGAACAATAGAATGGTTGTCGTACACGGTATATTCAATTGTCTGTATAAACTTTGAAACCGTGAAAGTAAACTTCAAATAACCTTTTGGAACAATGAAGGGATGTTTGCTAACGGTAACGGGCGATTTTAATCCAGGCAGGTATTAAAAATCCCACTGACATTTTATAATTGACCCACACAGAACCGTCAACCCTTTAACTCCCATCTGATCTGATTCTCGATTCTCCCCTCTAGCTGCTGCACATTTCCTCGTAAATTATTGAAAATGATTTGGTGGTAGATACAGGCAACAACTTATATCTGATAATTTCGAGAATTTTCAAAACCTGTTTGATTAATGCATGGATATCATAGGGAAAAGTTACAAGTTTAACTCTTCCAGGAGCTGAAGGGTTACACATGAACCTCACCACGGAACGCACGCACTTTGTGCCACAAGTTCCTAAATCAAATTCTTTGCAAAATCGTTAGGGGTATATTCGTAGACAAGCTCAGAATTAACCATCATTCTTATTGTTCACACAAGATGCTGGCGACATTGACAATCCTTGTTGCATACAGAACTCTTGTCAAACATGAACTTCGTAAATAGCATAGCACATCAAGATTTCTCTGTGACTTATGATCACCTGGCACAGCATCCTACCACGAAAATAGAAACAGCTGATGTTCGATCCTCGAATCCTGATAGTAAAGACCCAGATTCTTTCTTTGTCCAACACTCACGACAAATGTTTACACATTCCTTTTTTGTAATAAACGCATTCGACGATGAAATAATTTTTCTTTTTATAATTCATCAGAGGAGTAAACCAAAGCAGTGATTTTGGATATCTTTGCCAAATTTTAGCTGCGTATCAAATGTTCTTCAAGATCTGCCTCGTTATCTTAGGAAGTGGCTTGAGCACTAGAGATGTCACAACACTCGACCTCGACTAAGCGTCGTTCTTCCTCCTACACCGTTTCCCCCTCTAGCCGCTTCCTGCGTGCTTTACAACAGTTCTAGAATCACCTGACGTTTCGTCTTTGAAGTCCACTCGGCAGCCATCTTGAAGCTTCCAGCGGATCATATCCAAATTAGCCCCGTCTATCGCCCAGTGAAGAGCTGTTGAACCTGTCCTGTCCACTGAATCCCAGTCAGCCTTATGTTGTTTTAACAGCTGCGCAACCTCCACATTTCCTGTAAGAGTTTATAAAAAACGTCATGAACAGATGTGTTTTAGAAAACGCAAGAATGTCTAAATTAGAACTACCCAGGCCAATGAAAGTCAACACCGGATAATTTCACTATTCTCCATACTGTACTCTATATATTTCCTAAGGTGCTGACAAGGAGAATTTGTTTAAAAATCAAGAGCTTCTTTAGTCGTTGATCATTTCCTTTGTTCTTGTGACTTAAATATTTGATTCAGGGGTGATATTGTAAGGAGAAATTAGATGCTAGTCACTCTTAGGGTTCAAAGGTTTAAACCATAGTTGACTCGCACATCTCGTGAACTCGAGCCACAATCGATATCTTCTGCGTTTTCATTACACAATCACTCTAATTTTACTCTCGAACGTATAACTCGAACCCTTTAGAACTCAAACTTTGTCTTTTCCTTTCCAGACAATTTCTGTAAAGTCTTACCCTGACAACTCGATCAATATTTGCCAATATGCGACTAGTCAAAACAAACTGTATTGTAGTCCAAAACTTTCAAGTTATTTAAAAGCAGCTTTATAAGCTTAAATGTATAGATTTTGGCCATTATGATTTTAATTCGGATACTTTTTTCACGGGAGTCACGAGATCATATCAACGCATTTGCCTCCTGAATAGGTGAGGTGAGGATTTGGAGACGCAGGCGGCACACTACTCCCCGAATTAACAGAAGAACCCCATTTCGTGTGAAAGCCTTGAGAGCAACAATTCAACTAAAAACCGCTCGAACATAGGGATCATCAGAGCTAAGAGATATAATTACAGATCACACAAGATGGGGAGATGACAAATTTTTTGACAAAGTATGTCAGCGGAAACATTTTCCGTCAAGTTTAAAATTGTCATTTACAAAGATTGGACCTTTGGCGAAAGATAAATGCGTCTTACTAAGCAAGTGAGACGCCCGTACTGTAAGTCACGGACCGAGCTTTTTACCGCTCGGGATTATTCCCCAAGCGCAAGGCCATCGGGTAATAAATTCGCGGGGAAAAAACTGGGTTTCATAATTTACAGTACGGACCGATAAAATGAAGCTAATAAGATATTATTACATCTTTAGAATCCGATAGGGGGCAAGATCTCTATTCAAACAGAATTTTGAATTTTAGCAGGCCATACAATGAAGTAAGGCCAGCTAAGTTGACTAATCATAGAGCACGTATCAACTTACTAAAGATATATAATAACACAAGTTATAAACCTGAGAAGCAAGCCATCATCAAGGCTGTTTTTCCACTGCTGCTTTGAAAGTTCACATTTGCACCAGTTTCAGCAAAACTCGTGCCACATCTACATAACCTTTGGGGCTAAAACACCATTGGAAAAAACAATTTAATTTCGATATGTTACCACTGTCCAGGTGGGAAACTAACAACCTTGCAAAGCTTGCAGATCTGGTGAGAAAAACCTAAAAAAAGAGGACGAAGCTAAAGCTGATTGAGAAAAAGTAATAGTTCATAGTTAGCTGGTATAACAATTTGTGACAGATGCAGCAGGAATTTTGAAAAGAAGTATTCATAGGCAGTAGAATATGTCATAGTGAAGAATAAATTCCTGATTTATTTTCCATCAAATAGAACTGGTTATAGATGGTACCAAATTAAGTAAGCTAAATTTAAATTTTTCTAATTTATGATTGTGAAAATATGACGGAAACACCGAACAGTTTGTCATCAAAACCGTGTGATAGTTTTAGTTTCAGCTATTGTGTCTGTAATTAGCAGTGGATTGTGTTACCTGCAATCATGGGTGGTGATAAACCAAACTTGTCGGGGGAATCAACTGCTTGCCAGCTAAGTCTTAAAAG